GCAGAGGGTTGGGGGGGGGGGCGCACATCAGACATTCCAAGCATCATTTGGACCAGTTTCCTCTGACTTGTCAGAGTAAGTCAGCATGAGGTCCGCGTTAGGCTGGTTTTCCCCGTTAGGCTGGTTTTCCCCAGCACATCCAAGTTTGGTACGACACCCATTCTATGCGGGTGCGAAGCGCAAGTGTGTAAAACAAGTTCGCCAGCAGTGCGTGCAATGCTGAGCAGTGCAAATCAACGGGCGTGATAATAAATTAGCATTCAAGCGGGCGTGAGTGGTAGCAGTGTGCGCAAGCGTGCCAGTGAGTGACACACGCAAAAACGGCTTGGCAGCACTGTGTCCAACGCTGGTGATGGCAGTGCAAAGTGAGCGCGTGTGAGGGAAGCGCATGCTAGCATGTGTAGGAAAAGGCTGGCGGCGGTGTGTCCCCTTTGTGCAAGGCTTTGGATTAAGGATATGCAAGTTGGATCTGAACAAATGCGGTTGCTGTGTGTGAGGGGATCACTGTAACCTTCCGCAGTGTCTTGTGCTTGGCTTTGGTGTTGAACCGGCTTTTCTTTGAGCTCGTCAATGCGAAGGGGCCACGCGAGCGATTCTCTGTTGTGAAGCGCGTGAACGAGCGTAGGTTTCCGGCCCCTTTCGCAGGGTGGTTTCTTTTGGAAGATTCCACATGTGTTCCACGGCCATTTCCACAGTCTCCCTTCTTTCTACGCACTCTTTGTTCCACCCAACCAAGCTATTTAGCTTCACCCACCTCAACCCATTTCCCTTATGGTTCGGCCCACTCTTTTTACCATACAACTGCAAAAAGGTGTCGGACAAAATAGGTTTACTGTATCGGATTGTCTGGAACACACAAAGCACCCTCCCCTCTTCCATTGGCTTTTCTTGAGAAGTTGATTGAGTGAGAAGCCCAACTTCTGGTAACAAGAGAAAGATGACTCCGCGCCGATCGCCGCCGGGCAGGTGAGCCACAACGTCTCGGTGAAGGTGGCCATGGCTGCGACGCAGGAGACGGAAGGGTCGGGCTGGACGCTCGCGCGCAGGGCTTGGTGAAGGAAAGGTGGGACTCCCATCGTGACTTTGTCACGTGGCTGGAGCCCTGGAAAGCACGGAAAATTGGACCTAGAAGCCGATTGCCCACCTGGAACAGGAGGCGCCGCAAAAAGTACAGATGGCGTCTGGTCAAGCAACTTCCAACCCAACAAGGGTCCAATCGTTTGGGCTTCTGGTCAAGCCACTTCCAACCCAACAAGGGTCCAACCGTTTGGCATGTATCCCTTGGGTCGTCATTGGTATCATCTGGACGGCCATCTCATTGTCGACACCCTGCCAAGGCTGGACATCCATTTCGCAGCAGTTGATAGGTGGTTTGTCGCAGTATCGATCGGGCTTCGTGTCGCCTTGGCTTTTCTCCATGCGCCGGAGTCGGGACTTTCAATCTCACTTTCCGACCTGGCGCCCCATTCTGGTCCCGCAGCATCCTTGTCCATCCCTCCGGAAAACGCGGAGCTTCGTTCGCTTGGTCAGGACGGCCTCGCCGACAACCCGCTGGGCGCAGATGTGGTCCAGGTGAGTGGCAGGCTGAAGGCCAGCGAAAACGAGCCACGCGAAACCAGCGGGTGTGGAGCTGGCTCCTCCAAAGGTCCCAACGATTTTCTGAGTTTTTTCCGAAGGTGCCAGCAGCTTTTTGTCTTTTTTGTTTCCAAGAATGTCCTTTCGGGTGTGTGTGTGTGTGTGTCTTTGTTTTCTTCTTGGCACTTCGGTTCCTTCTCACGTGCCCACCCCCCCCCCCCCCGCAAAGCCCCCCCGCTTCTTCCTTCTGCCTGGCAGGGCCTGCGCTGGACGCCGAGCCGGGTACCAGAAGGCTACGGGCCCGCGTGCAACGCTTGCGCGGTGTCCTGAGGCGCGGAAAATGGATTTGGCTTCGGACCCACCCCGGGTCCGCGACAATCGGACGGGATCGCAGGTTCTTTGGTGGCGAGGAGGTTGGTCAGAGTTTCTGGATGGTTCGTTTGGGAACTTGGTGGACGCACCCCCGGTTCCCGAAGAAGGGGACTCGCTAGTTCTGCATGTTGGAGGAAACCATGTTTGCTGGCTCAATCAGGCCCCCTCGTCAGGCCACGACACATGTTGTTGGGTACAAATCCCTAGTTCTGATACAAATCCCCAGCTCCAATGGTCCAACCATCCTTGCCACTTTGAAGGCCGCTAAAGCACGGACTGAAATGCATGTCCATGCAATGTTGGCGTGTGTAGCAGCCAGGAATCAACCACTCTCAAGGGCTTTTTGATTATGGTGGTCAGGGCTATGTTTTGGTTATGTTCTTGAGGGCCTTATGGTTAGTTGTGTCCTCTGGAGCAACCACAGTTGATCGTCCCATGCGATCGTCATCGCGATGAACAGCAACATGGCTGCATGTGTGCGTGTGCGTGTGCGTGTGTGTGTGGCGACTGGCAATCGCAACAGTCCGTCGCATGTTGGGCGTCCATTTTACCAACGCACGGCCCAGTTGCTTGTCCCTGTGCTTGCGGCAGTGAACAGCAGTCTGGAGAGTCTGGCGGTTGCATGTTGCTGTTCTGGCTGTGGGTCAAAACCCAGGAAACCCCTGGTGAACATCAAAATAGGTGGCAAATGGATCATCCACCCCAAAATGGGATCGCCATAGGTTGTGCCTCTCAGGCCCTGAACTTGAGATATATACACCGGCACCAGTTTCAAAGGGCGCAGGGAGAGAAATTCGACGCCCGGCGTCAGGTGATAACGCCACGTGCAAGAACGCTTGAGTTCGCAGGGCCTGCGAACTGAGGTTTTTGTTGGCACACATGTTTTTTTCCTGCTGGAAAGAGAAAAGACGACGCCTGCGAACTGGATTCTGCCAACAAGTCATATCTGTGATGGCAGTTTACCAAAAAAATGACACACCAAAATGGCTGGTGTCGTTAAGGTCTTCCTTCAGGCCCATTCAACAGGGAGGGTCCTAATTTCAGAGAAGCCTCTGCGCTTCTTTCAGATTGGCGGTTCGGCTCGTTTTCAGTGGGAGCGAAGGTGTTTTGCAAAGCTTGATATTGTGGATGACAGGTGGACAGCTACACACTGAACGACCGCTACTTTTTGATTTGGGCCACCCCCTACAAAGAAGTCGATGTTTTGTGGATGCGAGTTCGCAGGTTGCTCCTGAGCTATTGGGGTCTTTTCTCAGGACCATTTGCTGCGAGCATGTCCACTTCTCCTGCCCTGCAAAAATGCAGACACTGGCAGCTACTTGCCCCCGCCCCATCCGATCCGGGCGCGCGAGGGGGGGGCGGGCCCCGATGTGAAGACACGCCCGGGCGGGCAGCTTTTCGTGTGTTTGAACCTGCATCAAAAGGTTTGGACAAGGGCATTTTTTTGTGCATAAAAGATATAACGGACACATGACCTAGGATCCGGCCACCAGCGACAGTCGATATAAAGCTCCCATGTCATTTCCAAGGAGTATACACTTCTTCGTTTCTGGGGTGGCCTTTGGCCATATTTGCCTGCTTTCCACAGGATTGCAAGGGCAGCCGCAGCTGGTCAACTCTCGGGGTTGACGCCTTTCTTCCGGAACACCTCCGCCTGACAATCCCCGGGTCAGTTGTGGGTCAAACGCCGCCTTTCGGCGGGAATCTTCAGGCGCCGGTTCCCAGGTGAGTAGCGACTTTTGGTGTCCCTTCGTTTTGGTTCAGAATGGCCATGGTGGGCCCAGTGTTTGCTCTTGGGTCACGGCGTGGCCCATTTTCGGCCGGTTCGAACCCCGATCTTTCATGTCTCACTCGAGTGCCCGAGGTTCCGAAAAATGCCGGAACCTGTAGGAGCACTGTGCTCAGGAGGCTGCGACTTGCGCGGAGAATAGGCAAAAGCAGATGGGCATGGGCATGCAGAAATCATGACCTCACGCTTTTGGAGGCAGAAGGGGACTGCACTGGCCCTTCCATAGCAACAAGCCAGCCAACAACTCGGACGTGCACTGGTCGTTTTTTTTTTTTTTTTTGGGCAAGTGGCGAGCCGCCTCGTTTGCCCACGTCCTAGTGACTTGAACGATCTTGAGAGTCCTTGGCAGAGCTGAGTTGACAGGAAAGTCGGCAGCCACGGATTTTGATTTTTGTTTGTTCCCATTGAACGGGTGGTTTCTCATTTTTTCTCCATCTTTTTTATTTTCCGCGAAAAAAGGGGTGCCCACAGGAAACAAAAACAAGCGAGCAAGCCAGCAAGCACGCAGGCAGGCAGGCACGCACGCACGCACGCACGCCTGCTCGCGGAGATTGATATACACACACACACAAGTACCACGTGATCCTTCTCTTGGCTCTCCTGGTGGTTAAATCAAGCAGCATTTCCGACGGAAGCGGGGCCGTGGATTTGATTTTGGTTCATTCGATTTGCTTTTGTTTGTTTGTTTGTTTGTTTGTTTGTTTGTTTGTTTGTTCGATTGACCAACTGCTATGACAACGTAGCTGGGTGGTACTTGAGAAAACACTGGATTGCAAGTGAGGCTCACATCATCATTCCTGATCCTTCTCATGGGGCTCTCACTCGAGCGGAGGGGAGGGGTCTGTCCAGACGGGTTGGCATATGGCTGTGGTTGTCAAAACCAATGGGATCCCATTTTGGGGTAGGTGAATGCACCACCCAATTTAGAACCTATTTTAGTGGGGATTGAATCGGATGATTAGGGGATAACCGGGCTTTTGACCCATGGCCATATTTGCCACGGGTGGAAATGACTTGCACTTCTTTGGTGCCGGTGCCGGTCCCTGGTGAAGACTCAGCCATTGTGAAGGTCTCCGGTTGCCCTCCCAAGTGGCTGGAGTCATTTTTTCCACGAAAGTCGGTGCTGGGGCCACGGGGTCTTTGCTGTGGGTCAACTCATCTCCGGGTCCCAGCGTCCAATCGTCCTTGGATTACTTGGATCTCTTGGGCCCTTCAGGGCCTTTGGGATGAGGGGAGGGCCTTTCTGGACACGGATTGGATCCAGGTGATGGACATTTGCCTGGGCTCCTTGGTCAGTCCCCGGAACATCAAGGACTGACTTGGCCTCGAGTCGCTGAATCGGAACTTCCCCCATCGTTTTGCTCCTTTTTTGGCGCCTCTACTTTAAGCCAAAATATATTATATGTCCTCTCTTTTGTTTGGGTTGTGGTTTTGGTGGCGGTGCCGGTGGCGCCGGCGGTGGTGGGTAGCGACCGTACACGTATGACAATCTGAGATGCGGGGCAAGGACGTTGTCGCTCTGCTGAAGAAGGAAGTGATCAAGACCCTGGGCTACGAGGCATCTCCGCAGAGATGCAGAGAGGGAGACTAAGTGCAATTGGCGACCCCCGCCCCCAAAATGGTTAGGCTTAGCTTGGCACTCAAAAGGGAGCTTTGTTATGCCCACAAGCCATAGGTGTGTCTCTGCATTGGGACCCTTAACATGGTTTGTTGCCCCTTTGCAAACCAGCCAACTGAGGCTTCCCTTGACACCGTACCGCAACTCTAAAGGAAGTGCTGCTGAGGCTTCGTTCGGTGGTCGGCTTCCGGGGAGGGTCCCCTGGGGCTACTCCTTGGGGGGCGACTTGGAATCCCTTTAACTTGCCATCTTGTTCACTTGCAATACGTTGGGGGGAATTGGTAGGGGGAATCATTCAAGATGGGTTCCCCGCTTCCAACTGTCGCCTCCCTTCTAACGTGGCGCCTCTAAGGCACAAGGACAGGTACCTTTAAATCTGCTCCTTCCACTCTCACCCGTCCATAGCCGAATGGAGGCCACATGGCTGTGGGTCAAGAATAGGTACCCCAAATGGCTTGCCCTGGCAAATTGGTAAATGGAAACATGGGCTAGAACCTGCGTTTTTTCCTCTGGTGGTTTAATCTTGACCCACACATGGACGCCCATCAAGTCCCGTTTCCTTCGGGCGGAAAACCTCCGGGCGAACACCTCCGGAGGGGGCGCGGGTCGGGGACTCGGCGAAGGCCTCCAACACCGAGGGCAACCTGGAGTACCGGCGCCTGCTGATCCGAGCCCTCCATGCCTGCACAGGCGGCGTCTTTAAAAAAAAAAAGGAGCCCGCAGAGTTTTTTGTTTTTTTTAGAAGAAGAATAGACAGAGCGTCTGAGAGACCTTCCCGTTTATAGTGTGGGGGTCTGGGGGTCGGACCCTTGATCGTGTTGGTCGGCTCGTCGTCGTGTCGTCGTCGGCTCGTCGCGGTGTCGTCGTCGCAGGGTCCAAAATTCCATTACAGTGGGGAAGCGCAGAACGTGCGAGTTTGATGACTGGCGATGTGCTGTTTTCGTTGGTCCTGTGCGCAAATCGTAGCTTCCCAAGCTTGACGCTCGACGTGTCGTTTCGCTGCGCAGGCGCAGTGATTCGAGAGCTTCTATGTTTGCGTTGCGAATGCAATGCGATTCGCGTTTCTGGGGTGTTCGTTTTGAGGTGTTTAGGAGAGGCAAGAAGAGAAGAGAGAAGAAGAAGAGGAGAGAGAAGAAGAAGAGGAGGGAGAAGGGAGAAGAAGAGGAGAGAGAAAAGAGAAGAGAGAAGGAGAGAAGAGAGAGGAGAGAGAAGAAGAGGAGAGAGAAAAGAGAAGGGAGAAGAGACAAGAAGAGAAGAAAGAAGAGAGAAGATGGAAGAGAAGAGAGCAGAGAAAAGAGAAGAAAGAAACAGAAGAGAAGTGGAGAGGAGAGGAGAGGGAAGAAGAGCAGAAAAGTAGTACGCGAAGGAGCTGCAGCTCGAAAGTTTGCACTTTCAAGTACGAATGTAGTATGCGAAGTACATTGTGGGAGCTGCAGCTCGAAAATAGCTTCTTTTACGTACGAAAGATATTCGCGAAGTACATTCCGGGAGTTGCAGCTGGAAAATCGCAATTTTGCAGTACGAATGTACATTCTGGGAGCTGTAGCTCAAAAAATGCATTTTTTAGTGCAAAAGTAGTACGCGAATTGCATTCCGGCAGCTGCAGCCCAACAATCGCATTTTTTTGGTACGAATGTAGCACGCGAAGCGTGTTCCGGGAGCTGTAGCTCGAAAATCGCATGTTCAAAGTACGAAAGTAGTATGCGAAGTATATTCCGAGAGCTGCAGTTCGAAAATTGCATTTTTAAGTACCAAAGTACGAAAAGAAAAAGGAAGCAAAGAGAAGAGAAGAAAAGAGACGAGAAGAAAAGAGACGAGAAGAAAGGACAAGAGAGAAGAGAAGAGACGAGAGGAGAGGAGAGCAGAGAAAAGAAGAGAAGAGGGAAGAGATGAGAGAAGAAGGAAAAGAAGAAAGAAGAAGAGGAAGACGAGAAGCAAGAAGAGAAAGAGAATAAAGAAGATAAGAGAGAAGAGAGAATAGAGAAGATAAGAGAGAAGAGAGAATAGAGAAGAGAAGAGAGATGAAGGAAGAGAAGGAAGAAGAGAAGAAAAGAAGAGAAGAAAGAGAAGAGAAGAGAGAAGAAATAAGAGAGAAGAGAAGAGAGAAGAAAGAAGAAACAAGAGAAGAAATCAGAGAGAAGAGAAGAAAGAAGGAAAAATACAGAGAGAATAAATCAGAGAGAAGAGAAGACAGAAGAGATTAAAAGAGAAGAGACGCGTCTCCGCTGCAGCACCTGCGTCCAAGACAAGTGCGATGATGTGCTTTCGGGTTCGTGGGTTCTATCTTGTTCTTATCAAGGTTGGCTTGGGAGTCAGTTGCAAGTCCGTAGGGGCGATGCGGCCATTGGATGAAGACAACTATTGGTTCATGTGCCATTCTGGTCCCATTGTGCATCCTTCAGGTATATGAATCCAGGGTCAACATCAGTGCCGTACCCAGGAGTTCTGCCAACTCCAGACTCTACACACCGTTGGCCGGGTGTGCGGCGCACAGCCAAGATAGAGCTGCGAATATCTGCGAAGTGGCCCCGCCACTCCAGAAAGCGCAGCATCATCATCCTTCCGGCCAACTCACTCTGACTGTCCAAGTGCAGCAGGGTGTATGACAGCGAGACGATGCGCTAAAGTGCTCGCTGGGGATGCCAAGGGCCCAACCACGTTGGTGCCTTTGGTGGCTGTGCAGGGAGGGAAGGCCATATTTAGCCAGCCACAGTGGGCGCGTAGGTCCGTGATTTGGGTCTTTGATTGCAACAGCCGCAGATTTCTCCACCGTTGAGTTGCGTGTTGGGGCACAGGTCTCCATTTCGCCTAAGATATTTGCGGGTTGGGGCGCCACAGTGCCAGGTCAGTACCCCGACCAAGCCCAGAGCGTGATGTTCCTGCTGATGGACTCGTTTTCACCGTCGAGTTTCGATGTTTTCATGCTTGTGGCTTGCCATGTCGATCCTCAGAACCCAGACAAAAGGTGTGATTCCGCCCGAGGAAATGACTTGGGAGTTGCGGTCCCCGTTTGCCCTGGTCAAAGGTATCGTTGCGCCTGTTCCCTCCGATGTTTAACCCGATCCCAGGGTTTTGGGGCTCCAGGTTTTTCAGCTAGACTCGACGCAGCTTTGCCCAAATCCCTGAGTCAACTGGGGTGGGGAAAGCCTTCTTGCTTGGAAACCGCAACGCATGCTGGGTAACTTCGAGTTGTGAAATCGGGAATCCCTGCGCATGTGCCGAATGAAAGGTCGGGCAGGTTCCCCTCAACACATCCCTTCGCGGGATGTAAACCATGGCAGCCATGGGACACAGCAGTTGCCACCACAGATCACCATGGCTATGAATTTGAAAGGGGAGCCCCATGAGACAGTGGTGGGACATGAATCTTGACGGATGTCCACCTGAAACTGACCATGGAACGTACGGTGCCACAGGACTTCCTCACCGAGTCCGATCAGACCACCGCCACGGAAGTAGTTCAGAGCTTAGTCCCTTCAAATTCGAACATGTTTAATGGCTGAAGCAAGCTCCCTCTACTGACAAATGATCTCAAGAACATCCCTTTTTGCAACCTCCTTTGGCTTCCCTGAATTAACAAATTGTTTAAATAACATCCCTTTTGCATCCCTTGACACCATAACACACAGTCTGGCTGAAAGAAGCTCCCTTTTGACTTCCTTTTTGCGCCACCTCTCCGCTCCAAAACGCGGCCGCGGGCCGCGGTTGCCGCGGGTTGCGGGGGCTCCGAGGTGATGTTCCTCCGGGAGCTGATTGCGAACTACTCCGCCCTGGTGCTCAGTTGTCCTCAGGGGCCCTTGGGGCCAACAGGGGCCCTTGGGGGCCTGGGGGTTTCATGTGCATGTGGCCAAGAGTTGTCAAAGCCGTTTTGGTTGATCCCATTTTGGCGGATTGGTGAATTCACCACCCTAGTTTAGAGCCTGTTTTGGTGGGGCTTGAATCGGATGTTCACTGGGGTAGGGCATTTTGACCCACAGCCATGTGAAGGCAGCTGAAAGGGGCAAAAAGAGAGCAGTGGGCCAGAGGAGGAGCCATCCAGATGGCAATCGACCCAGATGGCAATTGAACTTGTGTTGAATCCGAAAGGATCAGGTCGCTGTTGAGTCTTCCTGGGATGCTTCGAGAACCTCCCAGTACGGCAAAAGGTTTTCCCCAGAGTCCTCCAGAGATGGCAGCTTGACCTGGAACGTCGCAGTCGGCGATTCCTGTTTGAGTCACGACCGCCTCTTGTGGACCGTGGGCCCTACGGAGACATGGCATGTGTGGAGGAACCCCCTACAATGTGTCGGAACATAGGGGGAGCCCCCCAAAACTGGCTGGTTTCCTTTCGCTTTCCGCTCGAAAGCGCGCCCCACGGCTTCCCTCCTACCAATTTTTGGGACAACTCCAAATGAACCAAGGGCAGGACCAGACGAGTTGAACAAACATCGAAAACAAAGAGGGCGGCTTGAGGCAACTGAGCCTACGTTTGCTTCAGCTCTCCTTGCCATTTGGCGGCATCTCTCAGCCAAGGCTGCTAGTCCCAGCAACTTGGTGATTTCCATATCCGCCCCGAGCCTTTTCCCGGGTTTCGGGGAGGTATACTTCTAGTAGTGACAGATTCCAGGGGCTGACAAATGCACCCCCACGAAAAGTGGCTTCCTTCTGGTCTCCTTGACAAATCGCAGAGTCACATGGCAGGACTCTCGCTCCCCAAACTCCGACCGATTGAGGACATGCGCATGCCCATCCTCCAGCGCTTAGCGGAATGCGTGGGCGACGTGTCGCAGAGCCGGGTGGGGGGGCCCTGGCAATGCTTCAACGGTGCCGGGGTGTGTTGAAGGGAGGCCCCCCCAAAGCCAACAACGGCAGTGTCCTAAGCATGGGCTTGACATGAAGCCAGCTACGCTCATATGTGCAGTCGTCATACAAGTCTTCTGCTTGGGGTTGAAACTACAGCCCAAAAGAAAGGTTTCAACCATGACACATGTGCACACACACACACACATGTTGCAGCCATCTTCCGGCACTGTCCCAGACAACTGTAGCAAAGAGGAGTGGAATTTCAGGAAGGGAAACCAGTTTTCCCTCCATCCTTACCGTGCCAGTGGTACTGTCCTTGCTCATGGATTCCATGTAACTGCCTGTATCGTGGGTAAGCAAGGGAACAACCTTTTCAGCTCCAAAAAGGCAGATTGCTGGTTACCAATTCTAGCATGCTCACTTCCCGAGTTGGACTTTAAACTTGTTGGGAAGACCATATTGGCACAGAAACAGTTTGGGGACTTTGACTGAACCAACTCAGGAAGTGAACTCGTTTCTAGTGCTGAGTCGGGACATTTCCACCTCGGTCGCTTTGCTCGTGCTGCGCGCGCGCGTCAGGTGCTGCGTGGCTGCCTGTGGCTCTTCGGCGAGTACTGCGAGGACGAGGCAAAACGTTGGGCACGGAGAGAACGTGGTCCTAAAGTGAGGAGAGGATGGGGTCCTATTAGAGGGGGGGGGGGGGGGCGGATTCCCGTTGGTTTCCCTCTTGGTTTGCTTTTGGTTTCCTGCAAATGAGCTTGAACTCCAAATGGGAACTCGCGAAATGGGTGCTTCCTTCTGCCTCTTCTTTTCAAATATCAAAAATGGCACCAGCAGAAAAGACAGCACGATGCTTAATGAGCTGCTGAGCATTTGGCGCCATGCAGGTTCGAGCACGTTTCAAAGTGGATTCATTTGGACCTCACGAAAGGAGTTGGTTCGCGACCGAGCGCTCCTCAAGAAGATTTCTTTTGCAGGGGCCATGACTTATTTCAGATGGATCGATGATCCATGATGGCTTGCCCAGGTGAACCTGGTGACGCATGACCTCTAGTTTGCCGCAACTCCATAAATTCGGTCTAAGCCAGCACCCGTGGCTTTGCTTCTCATCCAGGGTGGTTTCTTCTTTCAACTTGGAGCACCACCGTCTCAGGGTTTGGTGCCCACAAACCCTCATTCGAACAGCCAATTTCCCAAACAGTCTTGGTGGAGCCGGCACGGATGGCCGTGGGTCAAAACCAATGGCACCGTTTTGGGGCAGGTGCACCACCCATTTTTGAACCTATTTTAGTGGGGATTGAATCGGATGTTCACTGGGGGTACGATTTGGATTTTGACCCATGGCCAAATAGGTTTGAGTAAGATGGTCCCCGCAGGCCCTCATCTTGAGCGTCATCCAGGCGGTGCTGGCGGCCTTGAGGCGGGGGTGCTCAGATCCCACGAAATCTGCGATCTTGGGTGCCCTTTTTGGGGTTGGGTGGAAGGAAACAATAGGTCAACCACCATGTCTTGGGCCCCGACATCCCCTTTCACATTTTTTTTTTTGTAAATAGTATGTTTAGGTGTTGGCTTCTGGGACTTTGGACCTTGCAACTAGGCGTGCCTGTTCCCAGTTCGGTGGGGATTCGGTCTCTTTAAGTCCTTGCCTCTTTGGTCAGTACTGGGAATCAAAGGCACAGCAGATTTTACCCTGAGCGAGGGACTTTGGAGCTTCTGACGCTGCAGTTTTGGACATCCAGCAGGCAGTGCAATTGCCGCGTGGAATGAGTCCCACGAATCCGATATTGAATCGGAGGTGCTGTGCTTCGAATCCGAGCGCGGGCGAGCATTGCCAGATAATCCAGATAGTCGACATGGTCGAACACAGTCCTTATGCTGTATTCCTGGGATGGATTACCGTACCTATCAGACAAGTATCCCTACGATAGATCAGTTCCGCACTCAATAGGGGGCCTACCTCTGAATCCAAACAGTTTTTTTAAACAAACCGAACCGGATTTCGCTCGCATCCAGTGGTTTGGACACATTCATCGCCTCATGACATGAGGTGATGTCAGTTTTACTTTCCATCACGACCCCAAAGGGTCCTTGGGGGGGTTGACGAAATAACCTACCCTGAAAAGGCTGCACAAAGTGACACTAGTTCATACTTCCTGGCAACTCCCATGCCCAAGTGTGGCCGAAAATAGGGGCTCCGGAACCATGGATTGTTTTTGCTTTGGTTTCCCTTTTTGAAGTCCATTCAAAAGCAGCGAGTCCCGTTTTTGAAGGATGAGCCTCCAATTTCTGAAATGCCCATGTGAACCTTGACCGGCCCGGCTCGGAGCCTCCCGAGAAATCGTGCATGGGCGGAACCGTCAGTCCAAGGGGATACGCCTTGTGATAGCCTAGTCATGGCCAACTTTGCTTTGGTATTACAGACTTCTTCTCTCCCGCAACCTGTTTCTTGGTTGAAAAAGGGACGCTAAAGAGCAGCCCTCTTCGAGGGAACTCGCTTTTGTTTTTCCCAGGGGGTCAGCAGGGGAGTGCTGCCGGGCTCAGGTTGTCAAACGGAGATGCACTCATGTTCTTTTGGTAGGAGCCCCTGAAAGAAGGAGGCCTGCAAACCAGGTCGGCAAACAACGGAAAGCACTCCCTCCATCCCGGTCCTGCCGAGTCCCCATTGGCGCAAGTCTGAATTGAGGGGAAAGAACGGCTAAAAAATAGGTGTCTTTCTTGGTGGACATGTGCGAGCAACCAGTATCGGACCGCCCGGCCCTTTTTTCTCTTCTGATCTGCGTCTGTGTCTGTCGTTACCTACTGAAGAAGCGAGCGCCCGCAGGCCGAAAGCGATAGCCAGTGAACGCCGAGCGCTAAAAGCATCCCAAAAAGACACCTAAATTTTAGGTGCCGGGAACGCAAGACGAAGCCCAAGCACCAGCATCCCCGGCATCCCCGGCATCCCGCATGCTTGCTGAGCCGCCAGCACCCCCAGCATCCCCAGCATTCCCAGCATCCCCGAGGCAGGTCCAAGCGCGAAACACGCAAGCAGTAAGCAAGCAAAGAGAAGCGGAGAAATAGCCGTCTAATCTTTTGACCCAGAAAAGACAAAACAAAGGCACGCAAAACGAGCCAGCTCAACGCAGAAAGCACCTCGCAAAAGCATGGTAAAACGCAGGTTTTTGCGCAAAAATGCAGCGAGCAAGCAATTCCTGACAGATGGAAAAGACGCCCAATTTTTTTCCGTCTTTTTCGGACGCAACATTCTGCAAATCAGGCCGAGCAGCCGACCCCCCTTTTCTGTGGCCCAACTCTCAACCGCTTCAAAGAAGCGCTTGCATCATGGGCAGCCGAAAGGTCCCGTGGCCAACCCCGTGTGAGTCAAAATCACTGGGATAGGGTGAAGGCTTAAGGACAGTCGCAGTTCGCGAATGAATTGGCGCGAGGGGAGCCAGCCCTCTTCATTCCTCACGTGCGGAAAAAAAACAAAACAAGACACAATTCAACAGAAAGAAGCTATCCGATATATGACCTATCCCGGCAAATCTCTTCAGAAGCTCGGCTTCTCGCCAGCGATCACCGACATAGGCGGTTTTTGGAGTCCTTGGCCCGCTCAAAATGAAGGAGCTTGGGTTGCGCAGCTGTTCGTCTTTGGTTTACCAAGGGGGCCATTCATTTTGGTGAGCCACTTTTTCGAGCCAGCCTGGCCCCGTGGCTTTGAGGCCTCTGCCGCTGGCAGTGGAGGATGGTGCCAAGGACAAGAAAGAGGCCGCCGGGGACAAGAAGGAGCGAGCCGGACCTATCTCGAGTGCCATGGGGGGGGGGGGGCTCAGGAAATTCGATTTGGGTGTGTCTGGACGGGATCTGAGTTGGGCGTTTTCGATTTATCTGGAGACTATCCCTTTTCTGGTTCTGGTTAAGGGAGCAACGGGAGATTTCCAGCAATTTGGAGCCCTCAGCAGCCTCATTTACCTGAATGGTAACCAAGGAACCACTGGGTTGGATTTTCCCACGCCTGCAGCCCGTTTATGCGATCAATGTTTTAGTTTTTTGGTGGTACCGGGTCTCCCGCAAAGGGTTTTGTTTTGTTTTGTTTTACTTTCTCTCAGGGTTGGCGGCTGGTTGGGAAGCATCGCTTGGCAATTCAACCCCGCATTGGCAGCATCGCTTTCTCACCCTGATTTGGAAGCGGTTGAGAGTTGCCCCAGGCTGGTTTAGGGTGGCTTGGGTCATTGCGGGGACCGGACATAGGCGATACTTGTGTTTGAGCACTCCGCGACTTGGTGGCTCGTGCCTACGGGGGGCTTTGACCCTCTGGGCAATTAATTTGGAGGGCTTTTTAGCACAGTTGCAACTTCCAGCATTTTGCTTTGCTCCAATTTGAGGGTGCCTTGTTTGGGGCGGCTTAAAAGGGACAAAGGACACCAACCACTTGGCCTCCCATTTGACTTCAAGCCTCGAGTCGAGGAGAAGAAAGCCCCAAAGATCACCACCAAGACGGTGGTCTTGGCGGACGGCACCTACGGCCTTTCCCTTGGCGAGGGGTGCGTGGGCTGGGTGAGCACATGAGGTGAGGTGGAATGGCAAGACATACAGGGCTCTGGGTCAGCAATAGGCACCCAAAATGGAAGCCCGGCAAGCGGAAACGTGGACTAAACCCTGCGGTCCCCTCATAATTTAATCCTGACCCATATCCACATGATAAAGTTACCCCCAGTGAAGCGCCTTGCTAATAAGTGTGGTTCTGTTTGGGGGTAGCAAGTTACCGCCTGCTTAAGTGTGAGAGTGAGCTTCGACGGGGCGGTGCCTCGAGGGGGTCGCGTCGCGAGCACTACGAGTAGGTATCCCCCATCATTTCGGCATGCCCGCACCAGTTACAGACATGTACCTTTGGGCCAACCCTGTTGTGTTTCCAAGTCGAAGCAAACCCAAGTATTGCCGCCCCAACTCTACTCAAATTGGACCTGTGAGTTGTCCCATTCCGCACAGAGCAGCTTTAGCAGGCGTTTAGCTCGCAGTCCACACGCCGTGGATGATGCTTGATTTATGTCAGGACATCCAGTGTTCTAGCTCCACTCTGCCAACTGGTCACCCACTGCCCATGGTTTTGGCTCGAGGCACGCAGAACGTGTACGAGGGCGGCGAAGGCTCGGGCACGCAACGCGTGTTGCACGTCCTAAGTGGGAACAAAAATTAAGCCGATCACCCCAAGGCCAGGAAAGCACACACACACACATGCACCATGTGGAGGTGTGTATGTGTGTGTGTGTGTGTCCAAATTGGTCCCTTGTTGCGTCCTCTTCTCAGGACACGTTGTGGTACCTTTCTGAGCTGCCAGGGATTGTTCCACTGGGGTTGCTCCAGTTTCCGTTTTAGCTACTTCCCTCGGATCAGTTGTAACTGAAAGCCCTTTGGCGGGTTGATGTAAGGGGCCTGTACAGCAAGGAACTTGCACGAGCGACCCGGGCAAGGCTTGGTGGACGTTCCACTGTTCCGGACGTTTGGAGAGGCAAGCAACACCCTTTACCCTTTGGCCCCAGATGCCAACCGCTTTGCAGTTCTTTCTGGAAGCAAAGGGACTCTTTTGGGTAAGATGTTGGGAGAGGAATCGATGGATTTTTCGTTTAGAAGAGCGCCCAGTTTTGCGGAACCCCGTGACCCTTTGTTGGCCTCAGATCGCCTTTGCATATCTGCCAGGGGAGGAGGAAGAGGTGGAGGACAAGGGCAAGACCGACACCAAGAAGACGGCCTTCCGGACTCTGCTTTTAGGCGACGGATTTGAAGCCTCGATTTCTACCTAGTCTCGTTCAGTGCCGCCATTTTCCTCTTATGCTTTGCCGGCCTTTTCCGCAGCTTCCCCAATAGACGTGTCGAAGAAATATGCGTGTCATGTCCAAACCTCTAGGGAGCGAATTGAGAACTGTTTGCTTGAGCAGCCCTGAGGCTTTCTCCAGTCGACCCGACAACTCAAGAGTTGGCTACCATTCTGAGCCTTGGCGTAGTCGGGACTGCAGATGCAGTGACGAGGGTCTTCGCCAGCCCCCAAACAAATACCCCCCAAGAAAAAAATGGAATGGGTATGGTTAGCATATTCCGTGGATCAAGCTAGCTTCTAAAAGGGGGTTGGAAGCCTTGATCCGGTGCTTTCAAATTCGAAGTGGGCCTTAGATATCAGTTGCCTTCGGACCTCGATGGGCGCAGGTGGAGATTTCCTGCTCTCGGCCATGGTTGGAGATGCTCGGCTGAAGTCAGGGGTGGCTGGGTGGATTGAAGCATCGCAGTTCTCAGAAGTTCTCTGCCTTCCTTGAAGTGGATACATTTAGAGGGGTTCTCAGAATTTTGGGAGGCTTATTCACATAAGGGGGACTTTGGTGGGGAGGCACTTGCCCAGCATTCCAGTGGCCTGTGAACGAAGGCAATCAGCTTGGAAACCATGCAACACATCACCTGCCAGGATTGGAATCACAGTTTTCTTTTGTTGACCGAAACCGCTTTGTGCGGTTTCAGTGAGTGGCGACGCCAAGCCCAAATTCCCGGCTGGACCTCGCTTTTGCTTGCCTTGCCGCCCTTTTTTTTCTCCTTCCGCAGCCGTTTTTTGGCCTTCCACTCGCACGACGCGTCCGGCGGCTGATCTCCATATCTCCAACTCGTCGCGGGATGTGGCGCATCTTGGCGGCCTGCGCCGCGGCGACCGCGGCGGCCGCGGCGGGCGACGCGGACGTCGCGCCGGCGCTCTTCGACGCGGGGCTCTTTGGACGAGCGCTGCGGGGAGGAGATCCCTTCGAGGAGACGCCGGTGACGCGGCGCGCGGGGGGTCCATGAGGGCCTTGGGTGTAAAAAGGGAAATGCAAAGGAAGTCGTGCTCCTATTTTGGCGGGTGCTCCGATTTTGGCACGTAGAAGGGGGGAAATGATTACGAACTGTATTCTGCCATGAGCTGAAATCTCATTTTAATCAGCCCTTATGGTTCACGGTTTGAGGGCAAGCGCGCAGCCACAGCTTTAAAAAAAAACACCCGCAAAAGTCATCGCCTTTGAGGTCGGCGAGAGTTGTTGAGCTGGGGGATGTTGTTTTCATCAGTGACGGTTTCTTCTTGTCTCCGGGGTGGAAGTTGAGGTGAGGGGGGAGAAGTGGTTGAGAGACATCAGCACCAGCGTGAAGAACCACTTCAAGGTCCTCCTGCGGCCCCTGCAGACTCCCATCGTGCAAGAGTATCAAGTGCTCACTGTGCTGGACACCTTTGTGAACTACACCATGCAGAAGGCTGGGCTGTTCAAAATCAATCCTCAATTCCTCTGTCAGATTGCCTTGTAGTGGCGATCCCCCCCCCCCCCCCGTAAAGGATTGCGGGATAGGATCCGGGATCCCCCTTGTGAACAACCCAGGAAGGTCCACTAGCGAACAAGAGTTGTTACTCGAACAAGCGCTGATGACCTCCAGCAGTTGATTTGATGATGACAACCTTTTGCTTTTGGGACTCTTGTGCCAGTTTTGCTTGACACGTCTGACTGACCTCACGTGCACCTCGAAGCTCGTGGAAACATGCCCAACCGGAAACATGGAGCCCTTGGCTCCGGCTCAGCCTAGTTGGGCAGGTGGAAAATGCCACAGGCTCGCTGGTGGTTTGGAACCGCACCAGCCGCCTGCTTTCTGAGCTCGACGCGGAGGAAGAGGTGGAACCGGCAAGCCGCGCCTTGTACGGCCGGCGGCGCAGCTCGAATCAGGATCTGCCGCCCAGGGCCAGGTACGTGAACAAGATCCTGATCTACATGAACAAGGATCCCTTACATGGGTATGGGTCAAAATGAAGCCACCAGGAAATGGACTGCAGGTAATATAGTCCTTGGTTCCATTTACCTGGGTGTCATTTTGGGTACCTATTTTTGACCCACAGCCACATGCAGCGGGGTGTGGGTGGGGGAGGGGGGGTTTGGCGCTTCCGCACACATGTTCTCTTTGTGGGTAGTATGGAGGCGCGGGGGAAGGGAGTGGGGTGGGATGCCACGAAAGTTGATGTTTTGATTCGGGAAGTACCCGGAAAAGCTGAAACTTGGATACTAGCTGTTTGAATGGTTTGCGCCGCAGGGTGGACGCCGTGTTTTTTTGTCCGCGGAAACGCAACACACTGGTGATGCTGGAGGTGTTGACCACTTGAATCGTACCTATCATCCCAAGTTTCGAGCATTCTTGTGCAAGTCTTTTTTAATTGCTCGGAAGATCTGGGAAAGGTTTCATTCCGACTTTGAGTTGCCTGACCTTTCGCAGTGACGGGGTGAATCCCCTTAAGTCACACCACCGGAAAGTAGCAAGCAGTACAGTACATCTCCATGGATATGCAATAGCTACACGATGTAGCTATTGGCATTTATGTACCAAACTGCTGTACCGCACTGGGGCAGGTTCACCCTAGTATGTAGATACATCTATATTCTATAGAGTCGGTACCCAAGGGAACCACACTGAATCAAGGCAAACAGGAAAACGGCTGGCCATCTATCCAGCGGGAAGGGTAGGGTCATAGAGGAGATTCCAATCCTCCAAAACCAACCAGCTATCCAATCTAGATAACTAGAAACAGAAAACAACTCAAACTAAACCACGCCAATTTAAGCCACGCAGAGCCAAACCCCAAGCTTGGATTCGGCCATCCAGATTTTGATTTGTCCGTTTCCTCTCACCTAACCGAACCTAAGCTGACCTAACCTAGCCTCACCGAACCTGACCTAACCTGACCTGACCTAACTTGACCTAGCCTAACCTGACCAAACCTAACCCAACCTACCATGAAGCCAAAAGCCGCGAGGAGATGGACGCGGTGTGGAACTACAACACCATCGTGGACCGCAAGCGCTGGGGCGCCGGCAACGTGATCACCAGCTCGCCCTACGGGCCTCACGGCGAGCACCCGGAGCGCTGGCGCAGGACGGGAGCTGGAGCTGGAGCTCGTTGCTCGCTCACCCGGTTTTTTTTTTTGGGGCGGGGGGGGGGGGGGAAAGACGAGCTGGGTATGGGTCGAACTCCTCCACCACCACAGGTTTTAGTCCTTGTTTTCATTTACTAGGGTGCCGTTTTGGGTATCTATTTTTGACCCACAGCCAGCTCACCGGAAATAGAAAGGGTCCTTTGGGAATCGATCCAAGTCTTAAATTCAGCTGTTGGAATTTTAATGAACATTTGCACAAAAAATGAGGGCCTGTGGGGTGTCCTCTGTTTCCCTTTGTGGAACCTCAAGTGGCTGTTTCAATGGAAACTGCCAGAACTTTTGAAGGGGAAATCCAGTGCTCTGTCCGTCAGCAAGGGAACCTCAAACTGGTGGTTTACCTTTTGATTTCCCGAAGAAAAACACCCTGAAAGGGACATGGCTGTGAATTTTCATAGGGAAACACTTGGAAAGGGCACCCAATTCTCAAAAAGAACGCCCACAAGTTCAGCCGTAAAAGGGAGTTAACTGGGGACGGCATGCTTTTGCCATCAGCTTAGTAGAACCAAAGAAGTCCATGGGTTTTGGGCCCTCATAGCAAAAGGAGGTTGTCTAGGGCGTCGGGGCCGGGAGCTGGCAGGAACGGCACCTTTCCCTTCCCGAAGCAGGCGCCCAACCACACCATACTCCTTGAGGAGAAGGCGAGGCGGTCCACTTTGCAGACACTTCCGGTAGCTGTTTGCTATGAGCTGATGATGACATCAACTTCGGATGTGTATCCGGAGGGCCCAAACAAATCTTCGGCGGTTTATGTTTCTGTGGGGGATGAATTCAGGTTGGGTAGAGTGCTCTCACTGATCAGTATTTTTTCCACACCAGGGGAGTAGCTTTTGACATGGCTCATTTAAGAAACCACTATTTGGCGTCCGCATATTCTGGCCGTGGTGGCACTTCCCTCTCGCTGGCTTCTATGAAAACACCTTGACTTTGGATGCATCCCGGCCAGAAAACAACTCTGGGGCGTTTTCTCTGGTAAATTCATGTTCATCTTGCACGTGCAGTTGGGTGAACGTAGATGCCATGAATTCCTCAAGCGCTCGAATCCATCGCCTCGATTTGGTCTCTAGATCCTCTTTCAGAGGCTCAGCCGATCAGATGAAACCAGTGCCCGGGCCGTCGCGCTTTTCTCCTCAGGTTTGGTTTCGTCCCCCCCCCTTTACCACAGAAAGATAATTTTCGCGCCAGCGATTTTTCTCATCCGCGAAGTCGATTTCTGGTCGGCCTCACGTAAAAGAGCCACGCGGCGTAGGTGACGCCCCTGAAGTTCACGGTGAAGGCTGAGGAACGGAAGTACGAGAACAAGTACGCCCAGCAGCTGCAGGCGGACTACCTGTCCTTGGTGGACAATATCAACGACGCTTTGGCTGAGGGATTCGTGGATTCGTGTTGATTCCTTTTCATTTCCCGGTCAGCGACACATCCAGGGCGCCAACTCCAAGAAGACAAAGACCCACAGTTGGAGGTTCTGGACTCCCCGAATTCTTTCCAAGCATCGTTCGTTTCAATCGTCAGCCATTTCTTTCCCCGGAGTGTTCGGCTGTGGTATTTCCGAGACGAATCCCTGAAAAAAGGGAAGTTACCCTCAAGGCTGTTGGGTCGTTTGGAATCCTCTTTGTGTTTCGTATTTTTTACTCAGTTGACGGTTGGGGGGGGGGCGAGGAAGGCTCTAACAAATTTCCCCTCATAGCACGAGCGCGTCCACCAAGCTGTCCAGCTGAGATGGCATGGAAGGGTGCAGAGCTGGGATCGGAGCCAGTTGTTTTGTGGTTGAGATTCGATATTTCTCACAGTGGATAAGATCATAGTGATGTAACGCCCAAGAAATAAGGTAGCGCCTTTATGTATTTGTTTATGTGTTTACTTTTTGTTTTTATAACTGTATTTATCATCATTTTTTCCAAAGAAAGTTTAATATAGGTGCTTGTTTGTATCTTTGCTTGTTGCCTAAAGCTCGCCCTAAACCAACCCAAGAAACTCTCCTCTGGCACCGAATCACAGGCAACCCTTGGTCCAAGTGAGGCCGGTGCTGCTGGGGATGCGACCACCAACTCCCCAAAGAAGTTACCACCCAGTCCCCCAGAAAATAGGAGGTCTCCAGCCAAACCTAATGGGTGCCTGTTTTACGTGGTGCCAGGGGTGTTGCCAGCCCCAAGAGAACCAGCGCCAAAAAAACAACAAAACTGGCTCAAACAAACACCTCTACCAACTTCCCGATTTAGAGGGTAAAAAATCGGCGCAAAAAAGAGAACCTGGCCGGAAGAAACACCTACCTCCACCAGTTCCCCATTTAGAGACAAACCCAGCAAACCGGTTCCGCCAACGGACGCAACCTCAGGACGCCATCAGGAAGATCAGCGACCTGCGCGAGAGGCACGAGATCCGAATCCTCGTTTGCCTGAGGGGTAACCAAGGAATCACTGGGTTGGATTTTTCCACACCCGCAGCCCGTTTATGTGATCTCTGTTTTAGTTGTTTTGGTGGTACAGGGTCTCCCGCAAAGGGTTTCTTTTTGATATGTTCTGTCTTACTTTCTCTGAGGATGAAGCTCAAGATTGGGCCATGGGGCACAAGGCGTTGACCTAGAGGGGTCCCGTTCTGTTTGGAGGGAGATATTCCTTTCTCATCCGTCTCCACACAATTTTCCATTCGACATCTTTTTCGCATGGCCAATGGTTGAGTCCGTTTGGCCGACAGGTTGTGGAAGATGGACGACTTTGCGGATCAGTTTGTGGCTCTTCCCTCGGGAGTGTGGAATAAGATTGACGCCCACTCCTAGGCCATTCAGACCCAAAGGTCCCAGGACACAGCCTGAAGCCTGGGAACATTCGCGGCGAGTTCGCGAGTTCCAAATCCTGCATGCACCTGATGATTTTCCATTTTCCCCGGGGCCTTTGCGTGGCCCCGGGCTAATCTGGAGCCTCTGAATTGGCTCCGCAGAGAGTTTTGAGTGGCCCACAAGAGACCACGACTACTTTTGGATTCCACACTCCGGTGGATTTTAAGTTGGACAGCAGAGGACTCATAAGATTGAGGCCTCTGTCATGCTCTGATGGCGAAGCGAAACAGCATGGCACTGCGATTTGCACACAGCCGCTTGCTCAGAGAACTTACTCAGAGAACTTGCTTGCAGAACTTGCTCAGAGAGCAGAATCAGATCATATAACTCGGTTGACTGCTGTCGGGCCACCCGTCTTCTGCTTGTTTGTCCCTGCTTGTTTGTCCTGCGCTGTGCAAGTCGTTCTTTGACACCCATCCGAAGCCGCGGAGGGGAGCCTGGGGTACTCAGTTTAGTGTGAGCTTTCTTTTGAGGTACCTTCTTTGGGGTAGGCTAAAGGCAAACCAGCGAGCACAGGTCCATTTTTGGGGATTCCTCCATTTTGAGCCACCCCCAGTTCAGATTCCAGGCGCGATTCGCGAGCTTTCCCCAGCCAGACATGCGAGCCCTGCCCTCCCGCCCCGACGTCCCATTGCGGAAACCATAATGTAAAAGGCAGAAGAATTACAAAGATCATGACTGAATTTGGTTTCATTTTGATCCCAGACTGACAGCATTTGGTTTCAAAATTTGGCCCTGACAGTGCTTGGACCGTGCGTTTTGGGTCCGCCCCGCTTTGGTTGAACTGCCAACGTTTGGTGCGAACGGCCGCATGGGCCGATTGGACGCCGCACACGTGCCCGAGGTGTCCTTGACCAAGCTCTGCATCAAGCTGAAGAACCTGCCGGTGGCCCTGCGCAATGAGGCACGCGACGTGGGCGCCGAGAAACGTCTCCTGAAGGCGCCCCTTCTGAGGGTGACCTGGCAAAAATGGGCCGCCCCTGTGTGTGGCTGGAAACTGATTTCTGGCAAGAAACGTCTGACGCCGCAATGGTTTGATCAGCTTTTGATGCCAGCAGTCAATATGTACGATGTACTGGGCACACCATAGATTGCCATTTGGAAGTGCCCCACCAGAATCCCAAAATCCAACGCGCGCAGGTATGGACTGACTCAAATCCATTGCCAGGTGCTGCTGGTCATCGTGAACATCTTCAAGTTGGTGAAGCAGCATGTTTGCGGCCCGGGCGCTCAGACCAAAAGCTGGGGGAAAGACACCAGAGCGAGCCGCCACGGCCAAGAAGCGCATGCCGGGGAACGTTGCGCGCATTCTTTTTGATATTTATAATATATATATATATATATCATCAACTGTCTCTCTCTCTCTCTGTGTTTGCGTGTGCGTGTGCGTGTGCGTGTGCGTGTGCGTGTGTGCGTGCGTGCGTGCGTGCGTGCGTGCGTGCGTGCGTGCGTGCGTGCGTGCGTGCGTGCGTGCGTGCGTGCGTGCGTGCGTGCGTGCGTGCGTGCGTGCGTGCGTGCGTGTGCGTGTGCGTATGTGTGTGTGTGTGTGTGTGTGTGTGTGTGTGTGTGTGTGTGTGTGTGTGTGTGTGTGTGTGTGTGTGTGTGTGGTGTGTGCTGTGTGTGTGTGTGTGTGTGTGTGTGTGTGTGTGTGTGTGTGTGTGTGTGTGTGTGTGTGTGTGTGTGTGTGTGTGTGTGTGTGTGTGTGTGTGTGTGTGTGTGTGCGTGCGTGCGTGTGTGGGTGTGTGGGTGGTGGGTGTGTGTGTGTGTGGGTGTGTGTGTGTGTGTGAGGCGTCTGGTATGTATGCATGTGTAGTAGACCGATACACACATACATAGACGCATATGTATATAATATACACATACGATATGGATGTTTACTCGACCGGTGTTGCTTGGATACGACGAAGGAAACCAGAGGACCGGCGCAACGCGCCCGCTTGGATACAACATGATGTGGATAAGCGAAAGGTTTCAGAAAACGGTGCCGGTCAGACGCCGTCGAATTTTGGGAGGAGGCTAAGTCACACGCACGTGGGACATTTGTCAACGAGTGTTCGCTGCTGCACCTTGTTGGCCTTAATTTGCCCCGGTTTGTGGGATCATGGGAAGCAGACAGGCGCCAAAGCAAGGTGAAGCCAGAGCGAAGTCCAGTGGCGGTTGGGCTGGCCAAAGAGAATTCTTGATGGCCGTCGTGCGTGTGTCGGCATAAGTGTCGGGGCATGTGCGCAAATGGGATGTCAAGCCAAACCGTCAGACACTGGGTCAGAGCATGTTCCACAAGACGTCTTGTCTTGCCCTTGCGCGTGCCTTAAGATCCCTTCACCAGGTTCCAGAGAACCCCGCCGGTCAGACGCCGTCGGACTTTGGTCGGAGGTCGAGTCATACATGCGCTACATTCGTCAATGTGTAATTGCTGCTGATCTTGTTGGCTTTGTTTGCATTGGTTTGTGAGATCATGGGAACCAGTCACAGACAAAGTACGGTGAGAGGTAGGCGATATCCCAGCTAGCTTGAAGGCTGGGAAAGTAGCAGAGGGGTGGTAGGCGGCTGGGCTGGCCGAAGAGAATTCTTGATGGGCCTCGAACATGTGTCGGCATGAGTGTCGGGGCAGGTGCGCAAATGGGCTGTCAAGCCAGACACTTCGGTAGAGCATGTTTCTACAAGACGTCTTGTCTTGCCCTTCAGATGCCCTCACCAGGTTCCTGAGAACCCCGCCGGTCAGACGCCGTCGGATGTTGGGAGGAGTTCGAGTCATACACGCGCGACATTCGTCAATGTGTACTTGCTGCTGATCTTGTTGGCTTTGTTTGCATAGGTTTGTAAGATCATGGGAACCAGTCGGAGGCAAAGTACGGTGAGAGGTAGGGATGTCTCAGCTTGCTTGAAGGCTGGGAAAGTAGCTGAGGGGTGGTAGGCAGCTGGGCTGGCCGAAGGGAATTCTTGATGGCCGTGGTGCATGTGTCGGCATGAGTGTCGGGGCATGTGCGCAAATGGGCTGTCAAGCCAGACACTGCAGTAGAGCATGTTCTGCGGGGCGTCTTGTCTTGCCCTTGCGCGTGCCTTCAGATCCCCTCACCAGGTTCCTGAGAACCCCGCCGGTCAGACGCCGTCGGATGTTGGGAGGAGTTCGAGTCATACACGCGCGACATTTGTCAATGTGTACTTGCTGCTGATCTTGTTGGCTTTGTTTGCATAGGTTTGTAAGATCATGGGAACCAGTCGGAGGCAAAGTACGGTGAGAGGTAGGAATATCCCAGCTTGCTTTAAGGCTGGAAAAGTAGCTGAGGGGTGGTAGGCAGCTGGGCTGGCCGAAGGGAATTCTTGATGGCCGTGGTGCATGTGTCGGCATGAGTGTCGGGGCATGTGCGCAAATGGGCTGTCAAGCCAGACACTGCAGTAGAGCATGTTCTGCGGGGCGTCTTGTCTTGCCCCACCGGTCAGACGCATCAATAAGTTGTCCTTGCTTCGCCAATCACTTTAAATAGGCACTGGTGGCACTTGAGCCCACGACCTCCCTCCTGGACGGCCGCACCGCCTAATCGGCTGGCGGTAGAGGGTGCGCTGCCATTGCGCCACAGGCCCATAGCTCAGATTGAGACACATCACGTGGACTGACGTTTTGCAGGAAGCCCGTCAAATGTTTGCATAAGTTTGTAAGTGGGCTGGCCGAAGAGAATTCTTGATGGGCCTCGTGCGTGTGTCGGCATGAGTGTCGGGGCAGGTGCGCAAATGGGCTGTCAAGCCAGACACTTCGGTAAAGCATGTTCTGCAAGACGTCTTGTCTTGCCCTTGCGCGTGCCTTAAGATCCCCTCACCAGGTTCCTGAGAACCCCGCCGGTCAGACGCCGTCGGATTTTTGGGAGGAGTTCGAGTCATACACGCGCGACATTTGTCAATGCGTACTTGCTGCTGATCTTGTTGGCTTTGTTTGCATAGGTTTGTGAGATCATGGGAACCAGTCAGAGACCAAGTATATATTGTGAGAGGTAGGGATATCCCAGCTTGCTTGAAGGGGGGTTGTAGGCGGCTGGGCTGGCCGAAGGGAATTCTTGATGGCCCTCGTGCGTGTGTCGGCATGAGTGTCGGGGCACGTGCGCAAATGGGCTGTCAAGCCAGACACTTCGGTAGACCATGTTCTGCAAGACGTCTTGTCTTGCCCTTGCGCGTGTCTTAAGATCCCCTCACCAGGTTCCTGAGAACCCCGCCGGTCAGACGCCGTCGGACTTTGGGAGGAGTTCGAGTCATACACGCGCGACATTCGTCAATGTGTACTTGCTGCTGATCTTGTTGGCTTTGTTTGCATTGGTTTGTGAGATCATGGGAACCAGTCAGAGACCAAGTGTATATTGTGAGAGGTAGGGATATCCCAGCTTGCTTGAAGAGGGGTTGTAGGCGGCTGGGCTGGCCGAAGGGAATTCTTGATGGCCCTCGTGCGTGTGTCGGCATGAGTGTCGGGGCACGTGCGCAAATGGGCTGTCAAGCCAGACACTTCGGTAGAACATGTTCTGCAAGACGTCTTGTCTTGCCCTTGCGCGTGTCTTAAGATCCCCTCACCAGGTTCCTGAGAACCCCGCCGGTCAGACGCCGTCGGACTTTGGGAGGAGTTCGAGTCATACACGCGCGACATTCGTCAATGTGTACTTGCTGCTGATCTTGTTGGCTTTGTTTGCATTGGTTTGTGAGATCATGGGAACCAGTCAGAGACCAAGTATATATTGTGAGAGGTAGGGATATCCCAGCGTGCTTGAAGGGGGGTTGTAGGCGGCTGGGCTGGCCGAAGGGAATTCTTGATGGCCCTCGTGCGTGTGTCGGCATGAGTGTCGGGGCACGTTCGCAAATGGGCTGTCAAGCCAGACACTTCGGTAGAGCATGTTCTGCAAGACGTCTTGTCTTGCCCTTGCGCGTGCCTTAAGATCCCCTCACCAGGTTCCTGAGAACCCCGCCGGTCAGACGCCGTCGGATTTTGGGAGGAGTTCGAGTCATACACGCGCGACATTCGTCAATGTGTACTTGCTGCTGATCTTGTTGGCTTTGTTTGCATAGGTTTGTAAGATCATGGGAACCAGTCAGAGACCAAGTGTATATTGTGAGAGGTAGGGATATCCCAGCTTGCTTGAAGAGGGGTTGTAGGCGGCTGGGCTGGCCGAAGGGAATTCTTGATGGCCCTCGTGCGTGTGTCGGCATGAGTGTCGGGGCAGGTGCGCAAATGGGCTGTCAAGCCAGACACTTCGGTAGAGCATGTTCTACAAGACGTCTTGTCTTGCCCTTGCGTGTGCCTTAAGATCCCCTCACCAGGTTCCTGAGAACCCCGCCGGTCAGACGCCGTCGGACTTTGGGAGGAGTTCGAGTCATACACGCGCGACATTTGTCAATGGGTACTTGCTGCTGATCTGGTTGGCTTGTTTGCATAGGTTTGTGAGATCATCGGGACAAGTCGGAGGCAAAGTACGGTGGGAGTTAGGGATATCCCAGCTTGCTTGCTGGGGGGTGGTAGGCGGCTGGGCTGGCCGAAGAGAATTCTTGATGGCCCTCGTGGGTGTGTCGGCATGAGTGTCGGGGCATGTGCGCAAATGGGCCGTCAAGCCAGACACTTCGGTAGAGCATGTTCTGCAAGACGTCTTGTCTTGCCCTTGCGTGTGCCTTAAGATCCCCTCACCAGGTTCCTGAGAACCCCGCCGGTCAGACGCCGTCGGATTTTGGGAGGAGTTCGAGTCATACACGCGCGACATTCGTTAATGGGTACTTGCTGCTGATCTTGCTGCATTGTTTGCATAGGTTTGTGAGATCATGGGAACCAGTGGGAGGCAAAGTACGGTGGGAGTTAGGGATATCCCAGCTTGCTTGAAGGCTAGGAAGGTAGCAGGGGGTGGTAGGCAACTGGGCTGGCCGAAGAGAATTCTTGATGGCCCTCGAGCGTGTGTCGGCAAGTGTCGGGGCACGTGCGCAAATGGGCTGTCAAGCCAGATACTTGGGTAGAGCATGTCCTGCAAGACGTCTTGTCTTGCCCTTGCGTGTGCCTTAAGATCCCCTCACCAGGTTCCTGAGAACCCCGCCGGTCAGACGCCGTCGGACTTTGGGAGAAGTTCGAGTCATACACGCGCGACGTTCGTCAATGTGTACTTGCTGCTGATCTTGTTGGCTTTGTTTAAATTGATTTGTGAGATCATCGGGACAAGTCGGAGGCAAAGTACTGTGAGAGGTAGGGATATCCCAGCTTGTTTGAAGGCTGGGAAAGTAGCAGACGGTGGTAGGCGGCTGGGCTGTCCGAAGAGAATTCTTGCTGGCCCTCGTGCGTGTGTCGGCATGAGTGTCGGGGCATGTGCGCAAATGGGCCGTCAAGCCAGACACTTCGGTAGAGCATGTCCTGCAAGACGTCTTGTCTTGCCCTTGCGTGTGCCTTAAGATCCCCTCACCAGGTTCCTGAGAACCCCGCCGGTCAGACGCCGTCGGATTTTGGGAGGAGTTCGAGTCATACACGCGCGACATTCGTTAATGGGTACTTGCTACTGATCTTGCTGGATTGTTTGCATAGGTTTGTGAGATCATGGGAACCAGTGGGAGGCAAAGTACGGTGGGAGCTAGGGATATCCCAGCTGGCTTGAAGGCTAGGAAAGTAGCAGGGGGTGGTAGGCAACTGGGCTGGCCGAAGAGAATTCTTGATGGCCCTCGAGCGTGTGTCGGCAAGTGTCGGGGCATGTGCGCAAATGGGCCGTCAAGCCAGACACTTCGGTAGAGCATGTTCTACAAGACGTCTTGTCTTGCCCTTGCGTGTGCCTTAAGATCCCCTCACCAGGTTCCTGAGAACCCCGCCGGTCAGACGCCGTCGGACTTTGGGAGGAGTTCGAGTCATACACGCGCGACATTCGTCAATGGGTACTTGCTGCGGATCTTGCTGGCTTGTTTGCATAGGTTTGTAAGATCATGGGAACCAGTGGGAGGCAAAGTACGGTGGGAGTCAGGGATATCTCAGCTTGCTTGAAGGCTGGGAAAGTAGCAGCAGGGTGGTGGGTGGCTGGCCGAAGAGAATTCTTGATGGCCCTCGTGCGTGTGTCGGCATGAGTGTCGGGGCACGTGCGCAAATGGGCTGTCAAGCCAGACACTTCGGTAGAGCATGTTCTGCAAGACGTCTTGTCTTGCCCTTGCGCGTGTCTTAAGATCCCCTCACCAGGTTCCTGAGAACCCCGCCGGTTAGACGCCGTCGGACTTTGGGAGGAGTTCGAGTCATACACGCGCGACATTCGTCAATGGGTACTTGCTGCTGATCTTGTTGGCTTTGTTTGCATTGGTTTGTGAGATCATGGGAACCAACCAGGGACAAAGTACGGTGAAAGGTAGGCGATATCCCAGCTTGCTTGAAGGGGGGTGGCAGGCGGCTGGGCTGGCCGAAGAGAATTCTTGATGGGCCTCGTGCGTGTGTCGGCATGAGTGTCGGGGCAGGTGCGCAAATGGGCTGTCAAGCCAGACACTTCGGTAGAGCATGTTCTGCAAGACGTCTTGTCTTGCCCTTGCGTGTGCCTTAAGATCCCCTCACCAGGTTCCTGAGAACCCCGCCGGTCAGACGCCGTCGGATTTTGGGAGGAGTTCGAGTCATACACGCGCGACATTCGTCAATGGGTACTTGCTGCTGATCTTGTTGGCTTTGTTTGAATTGTTTTGTGAGATCATCGGGACAAGTGGGAGGCAAAGTACGGTGGGAGTTAGGGATATCTCAGCTTGCTTGAAGGCTGGGAAAGTAGCAGCGGGGTGGTGGGTGGCTGGGCTGGCCGAAGAGAATTCTTGATGGCCCTCGTGCGTGTGTCGGCATGAGTGTCGGGGCACGTGCGCAAATGGGCTGTCAAGCCAGACACTTCGGTAGAGCATGTTCTGCAAGACGTCTTGTCTTGCCCTTGCGTGTGCCTTAAGATCCCCTCACCAGGTCCTGAGAACCCCGCCGGTCAGACGCCGTCGGATTTTGGGAGGAGTTCGAGTCATACACGCGCGATATTTGTCAATGGGTACTTGCTGCTGATCTTGTTGACTTTGTTTGCATTGGTTTGTGAGATCATGGGGACAAGTCGGAGGCAAAGTACCGTGAGAGGTAGGGATATCCCAGCTTGCTTGAAGGCTGGGAAAGTAGCAGACGGTGGTAGGCGGCTGGGCTAGCCGAAGAGAATTCTTGCTGGCCCCCGTGCGTGTGTCGGCATGAGTGTCGGGGCATGTGCGCAAATGGGCTGTCAAGCCAGACACTTCGGTAGAGCATGTTCTGCAAGACGTCTTGTCTTGCCCTTGCGTGTGCCTTAAGATCCCCTCACCAGGTTCCTGAGAACCCCGCCGGTCAGACGCCGTCGGATTTTGGGAGGAGTTCGAGTCATACACGCGCGACATTCGTCAATGGGTACTTGCTGCTGATCTTGCTGGCTTGTTTGCATAGGTTTTTAAGATCATGGGAACCAGTGGGAGGCAAAGTACGGTGGGAGTTAGGGATATCTCAGCTTGCTTGAAGGCTGGGAAAGTAGCAGAGGGGTGGTAGGCGGCTGGGCTGGCCGAAGAGAATTCTTGATGGCCCTCGTGCGTGTGTCGGCATGAGTGTCGGGGCATGTGCGCAAATGGGCTGTCAAGCCAGACACTTCGGTACAGCATGTTCTGCAAGACGTCTTGTCTTGCCCTTGCGTGTGCCTTAAGATCCCCTCACCAGGTTCCTGAGAACCCCGCCGGTCAGACGCCGTCGGATTTTGGGAGGAGTTCGAGTCATACACGCGCGACATTCGTCAATGGGTACTTGCTGCTGATCTTGCTGGCTTGTTTGCATAGGTTTTTAAGATCATGGGAACCAGTGGGAGGCAAAGTACGGTGGGAGTTAGGGATATCTCAGCTTGCTTGAAGGCTGGGAAAGTAGCAGAGGGGTGGTAGGCGGCTGGGCTGGCCGAAGAGAATTCTTGATGGCCACTCGTGCGTGTGTCGGCATGAGTGTCGGGGCATGTGCGCAAATGGGCTGTCAAGCCAGACACTTCGGTACAGCATGTTCTGCAAGACGTCTTGTCTTGCCCTTGCGTGTGCCTTAAGATCCCCTCACCAGGTTCCTGAGAACCCCGCCGGTCAGACGCCGTCGGATTTTGGGAGGAGTTCGAGTCATACACGCGCGACATTCGTCAATGGGTACTTGCTGCTGATCTTGTTGACTTTGTTTGCATTGGTTTGCGAGATTGGGGACAAGTCGGAGTCAAAGTACTGTGAGAGGTAGGGATATCCCAGCTTGCTTGAAGGCTAGGAAAGTAGCAGACGGTGGTAGGCGGCTGGGCTGGCCGAAGAGAATTCTTGATGGCCCTCGTGCGTGTGTCGGCATGAGTGTCGGGGCATGTGCGCAAATGGGCTGTCAAGCCAGACACTTCGGTAGAGCATGTTCTGCAAGACGTCTTGTCTTGCCCTTGCGTGTGCCTTAAGATCCCCTCACCAGGTTCCTGAGAACCCCGCCGGTCAGACGCCGTCGGATTTTGGGAGGAGTTCGAGTCATACACGCGCGACATTCGTCAATGAGTGCCTTTGCCAAAGCTTTGTGTGCTGCCACATGCTTGTGTTGTTGCTTGAAACATGTCCCCTCTTGAGGTCGTGGCTTTGACATGAACCCACAGCAGGGTTTCGGCGAATCCAAAAGGAATCCTGCTATTTTGGGGGTGAATCCCATTTGGGGGTTGAAACAAGTTTTGCGACATTCCCTGTACTGTTGACCCCTTATTAGTCACAGCTTTATGAATAGGGGGGGTGTTCTTTCGAGACACCGTCTTCCCTGTTTCCCTCTCGTGAAGTGCGTTGCTTCTCGTGCAGCGCAGGCGGGGAGAAGTGCGACAGCGCGGTGCGGCTGAGCCAATGCATCCGGGCCTTCGCCGTGATGGGCCTTCGCCTCGGAAGAGACCTGGGTACCGGTAAAACCATTTGGGCCTGGACCTGTAGGGTGTACACAGGGCCCCTTGTTCCCCCTTGTTTTTTTTTTTTTTTTTTTTTTTTTTTTTTTTTTTTTTTTTTTTTTTTTTTTTTAAATATATTTTTTTTATCCTCGGTGTTTCTTTTTGAGTGTGTGTGGGCGTTTTTGTTGGGCGGGGGGCGTTCTCAAGAACAGTTTTGGGGTGAGCTTTTTTGAGGTTGCAACTTGAAAATTGACCCAACGACACCGGGGGGATTTCTCCATTTCCCGTTAGAGGGTGGCTTGAAGCGTGAACGTGTTGAGAAGGCGTCAAAGTGAGTTGACGTTTGCAGGGACTACAGATTCCTTCCATTAATGAGGGCGGGCCTTTTGCTTCAGCAAACGATGGGTCAACGTGATGAAGGGTAAAACTGGGGCGCTTGCGGTATGGAGGGAGTCAAGAAGTTTGGGGCGGGGCAGCAAAGCGCCCGGGAGCCTTCCTTGGGAGCCTTCGAGGCATTGGGCGGGGCGATAGTGGCGGGGGCGGCGGCTTCTGGTTTGGCCGGGATTGCGGCATTTGGCGGTGTGAAGCGAAGCTGACTTTTCCTCCAGACGGCGGGTTGAAACACGGTGAACCCACCTGGTCGTGTTTGGAATGCTCCCCTTTTCGGTTTCCCCCAAAGGGCCATGAGTACAAATTTGGCCCCACCCAAGAATCGTGGAAGCTAGGAGGGGTTGGGCAGCAAAAGACCACTTCAGTGATTGGCAAGCGGGTAAAGGGCATGACAAAAATGGGGGGGGGATTCAACTTCGCAATTCACCCAATGAGAGCGGGTCCCTGAAGTGTTCTTAGGGATCTTGTTGCGTGAAAGGACTCTGGCGGAAGGGGCCAGGGTCTGATGACAGGCAGAGCTCGGGAGATCTCAACAAACAGCTGCAGTGTTTCAAATGCTAGCGAATCCGGTGTCATAGATATGAATGAAAGATACGCTGTCTCCAACACAAACACCAAGCATGCCAATGATCGGAGAGACAACACAAAGGTGGAAGGATTAGACTGTGCTGTATGGAGAGTTGGCCGACCTCAATCCATACTACCCGTTGGGAAGTCACTAGGACAATTCTGGCAGAGCGCCTGTGAACGGCGCTTGGAGAACCCCCCCCCCCTCTTCGGCGCTCCCGCCGCTCGGCGCTGGGCACGGCGGCTGCGAGGCAACTCCCAGCTGCCGCCGCCGCAGCTGGCCGCAGCGCAGCTGGTGCAGGGGGACTGGGGCGCCGCCCAGGGGCGAGGGCAGCTGGCCAAGGCGTGAGGATGGGGGTGGGGATGGGGATGGGGATGGGGTGGGATGGGTGTTGGGTGGGGGGCGTTGGGATGGGTGGGGATGGGATGAGTTTGGATGGGTTGGGATGGGTGGGCGATGGGTTGGGATGGGTGGGGATGGGTGGGGATGAGATGGATGGGTGGACGTGGAGTGGGTGGGTGTGGATGGGTTGGGTATGGGTTGGGGCGTATGGGCTCGTTTAGGGAAGTGTTAGGAGAAGTTGGGATGGCTTGGGATTGGTGTGGATGTTGGTCTGGTTCCCTATGTTTCCGCTTTTTTGCTGGTGTGGAGCATCACTTGTTTGGGCCAATAGGCGAGTTTCCCGAGCTGTGAGGTTACACGGAACAGTTTATCGAAACCAGGTCCGGGAGGATGGGCGGGTGGGGGTGAGGGTTTTGGTTTGGGATGGAGATAAAGACAGGGAGAAGAAGTGGGTTGGGTAATTGGACATGGTTGACAAGGTGTCTGCCAGCTACGGGTCACATTGCTTTCAGCAGGACCAGGACTACCCGTCCTAAACACACACGGGTCATGCCCAGAAGGGTGCATGTGTGTTGAAGATGGGGCTCGACTGGACGCCCGGAAGCCACTCGTTTCAGTTCCCGAGTTCCCCGTTCCCCATCTGGAAAAGACCCCCTACGGTGAATTGTTGGTTCTTTGAGCCCACACACTAGACACGTGTGGATAAAGGGATGAATCCCTCACCCCGGGGCTGGGTGGAGGTTGTTGGAGTTCCCATGTGCCAAGCTGCCAACGTCGGCGTCTCTCAAAAGAGCCTTTGAGATGGCCGGACGGATTCTTTTATTTGGAGGGGTGGTCTGTACGGCTTCTCATCTTGGCCGCGAGCGCCTTTCCAAAAATGGGCCCCACAAAATGGCTGGGGGTTCCTTTTGGCCTCCTGAAACCCAAGAGCCAGATCGCGCCAAGCTTGAGACGCGTGTCCGCGTGTCTGTTTGACGGTACGCCTCGCTGATGGTGGTAAGCGGGGCAAAGAAGAACCCCATGGTTTTGGGAGGTCCCCTATTCTCAGTCTTAAAACTTGATTTCGGGCCCCCAAGATGGGCTTTGATTTCCTTTCGGTTCTCTTTTAGTTAAAACCATTGCCCAAATAAGAGGAACCCTCTCCTCAGTGGTTGGTGTCATTTTCGTTGCTCTTCAGCAAGGAAACCCTCACTGGTCTCCATTTGGTCTCCCTTTTGGTGTTGGTTGCCCCTTCGGTTTGCCTTTTTTCAACACGTTCCTCGTTTGTTTCCCTCTCGGGTTCCCGTTAAGTGTCCCGTTTGGTTTTTCGTTTGGTTTCCCTTTTTGTTTCACGTTTTGTTTTCGCCTTGGCTTCCCATTTGGTCTCCCTTTAGGTGTCTCTTGGTTTTTGCCCATTCTTTCCAGGGATCCTTCTTTCTACAACACCTCCGGAAATCCAGAGAAAACGGCCGGTTCTTGGAAAGAACGATGGGGAATCGACCCCTAGAGGTTTCCTGTTTTGATTCGGGGGCTCCTTGAAGAATTCTGTTTCATCGCTGCGCAGGTCTTGGAGTTGGCGGCGCAGAACTCCGAGTGGGCGCTGGGCCAAGAGGAGGAGGTGCAGGACTCGCAAAGGGTTTCTGAAAGGGTTCCACAGCTATGGTTCCTTCTCCTCCTAGCTTGCCCGCAACCGAGCTTGTCACCTTTTGGTCCAGTTTTGCTCCATATCTAGAAAAGCGTCGAAGATCTTGGTGTTTTCTCCTGTCTTTGATCTGTAGAACAACGCCCTACGAGACACGTCGCCTTGCAGACCAACCATCAAGCAAGTGCCTGAGCATAGGCACCACGGCACCCATTCAGCCGGGCTATGGAGTTGGGGAGGTGTCATGCAGGCAAAGGGGCAAACCGGTGGAGGCACCAGCGTAGGTGTTCTTTTTGGGTTAGTTTGGCTAGAAAATAGATAGCGCTGGTTTAGATTGGTCTTATTCCACGTACCGGGGCCATCTTTGTTTTTCTTCTTGTTTGTTCTCCAAAAGGACACCTATGAGCAAGTGTTTCCCAGCTTGGGCAAGTGTTACCGCTGACCTATCCGGCGCTTTTTCCCATAGGTCAGGCGGGTTTCGGAAGCCGCGTGGCTTCCCTGAAAACAATCCGTCCACCAGAGTGGGCCCCTTATTTTGAGGCCTCTAAAAGTTGAAGGCCACCAACGGCTGGTAAGAGTCCCACAAACCCCCTGCGGACAACAAGCCGACACCAGCACACCAGCCACACCAGCAAAGCCACCAACCGTCTACAAGGCATTTATTCTGATTGGCCAAAGGGCTTCCAAGCGCACAGCTCATTGATAGAACGGGGGCTGTTTGGCCATGGGTCAAAATCGGGTACCCCCAGTGAACATCCCAATCCCCACTAAAATAGGTTCTAAAATGGGTGGTGAATTCACCTACCAACCAAACTGGGATCCCAAAACGGTTTTGACACCCACAGCTCTTTGAACCATGAAGATGCTTCCAAGCGCGCGGCTCATTGATTGGAGAACGGGGCAGTTTGAACCAAGGGAACTGCAAAACTTGAATTCAACATCAGGAGAAGAGCGTGGCACCGGACGAGTGCATCGTCTTCCGCCAGCTGAGGGAGAGGAAGGGAGGAGCTGGGCCCGCAGGCTGCGGGCCAAAGGGTCAAAGGGTTGGGGGGGGGGGGGGTTCGGATCGTTTTTTGGAGGATTGTTTTTTCTTCGTGGAATCCGTCCTTGGTGATGTGCTCGTGGAAAACCGTGGGTGTCCTTTTTTTTTGGTTTCGTGAAAAAAAACTCATGGAAGTCCATAGGCGTCCTTCTTGGTTGTTTTGGCAAACAAAAATAGGCGGCGATTCCTGGTTTACCAGGTGGTTTCCAGGGAAACCCATCTATTTCCCCCCAAAGGACACCTATGTGTTTAAGTGGAATCCGGGCCTTGGTGATGTGCTCGTGAAATTCCATAGGTGTCTTTTTTTGTTAAAATAACTCATGGAAATCCATAGGTGTCCTTTTTGGTTGGTTTCGTTAAAAGAAAGCGGGCCCTGGGTTACTTAGTGGTTCAATCATCTACCAGGGCCATCTATGTTCCACTCAAGGATACCTATGCTCATAGGATTCCGACAAAATAAACAAACAAACAGTTCCAGCCATGGGTGCGACCGCCCCGAGGAGTCTTTTGCGCAGTTTTGGGTGCACTCGTTGAATACAAGATACGAATACTCATACGATTTAAGGTATGAAGCTAAATCCCACGTGCGAAGTCTTAGGCTGACCAGCTCTGATTCTTTGTGCGTGACGAGGTCTACTGCAACAAAGGGTCGCACCAGGGACCATGAGAACCAGAGACCCTCGAGGCTGTGGCTATCAGCATGAAGCTGTTGCCATCAGGGTCAGGGGGCCAGGGACGATGGGCATAGCCCCGCAAACCGAGCTGAGAGCTCCAAGCCAATGAGCGGAAAATCATCCACACACACACACAGGAAGGCCGCGCAGCCTGAGGCGTAAACGTCCCCGCGACCAAGAAACAAGCAACACAAGCCAACACCATCACACTCTTTCTCCCCCACCCTCGGCAAGAGCCACTAGCAAAACCTGCCACCATCTGGGAATAAGACTCACAATCCGCCCCATGCCACCAAAGAATGCCGTAAACCGGGGACTCCTTCCTTCCGAAAGGCGGCATGGACGATGACGAGGACTTCCACGCCGCGCGGGGCGCCTCCATGGCACAGGCGGCCGCGGATGGCGCGCTCTTTGCGGAGCGACTGGCCAAGGCGGAGCTGCTTTTGGGAGCCTGAGCACATGCACTGCACGGCTTGGGGCCATAGTTGTTCAGCAAAGTTTGTAGGCGCTTCCTCAACGTGACGTCTCTGTTGCTTTTGGGCACATGAGTCTGTCTCATGGCCTTTTTCTCCCCCCTCCCCCCGCAAATGGCGAAACCCCTCTTGGTTTGCCTCCGACCCCCTAAAGGGGGGTACGCTTCAACAGCAAAAAAACAACACACACACACACCCATGGGAGGGCACTCGCCTGTTTTTCAAGTCCCATCCCACGAGCACCACTCGTCGAAGGAGCGAATTTCTGGGTGGCAGGTCCAGCAGATGACTGGCCTGGCGGACCCGGTCTATGTGGAGGCCTTTTTGCAGGCGCCCCGCGCATCACGCAACTACGCCGCGGCGACGCGGTTGCGGTTGCATGGCGCGGCGTGGCAATCCGCATGGCACGCATATACATAATGTGGGTTTAACAAGATACAAGACACACCCACAATATAGACATGAGTATATGAGTATTATATATATACACATATACATAGAATATGTAGAGTATGTATTATATCTTACATATACATGTTATCCTCCCCTTGTTCCCCGAAACCAAAGAACAAACCGGAAGAGAGCCGTGGCTTCTTCCAAGTCGCGTTTCGTAGGTGCACTCCTTCGACCTGATGCTGGAGCTGCTCGTGGTGAACCGCACCAACGAGACGCTGCAGAACGTCCTGGTGGAGCTCAGCACCCAGGCCATCAGATCTCGATTTCCGGTAGATGAGAATTAGTAAGGGACAATCCCCTTGCCGTAACTTGGTGGCTCCCAGCCATCCGGTTCCTTAGCCTTTTAGCCTTTTAGAGTTTAGGGGTAGTTTCCATTCAATCCACCAAAAGTTAATTTGTTTTTAGCAGGGCATCTGAGGGCAGCCCAGATAAATGGGTGCAGCCGCCTGTTTATTTCTGTACATGGTTCTGGTAGGCCACTTTTGATGCCGGGTTTTGATTTTGACTCATGTGAAGCCAAGAACACACCTTGAGCTTTCCACGGTGTTTTGGGCGCTCATGAAGATGAGTCGGAATGTTGGTTCAGAGCCTTTTGGGAGGCAGGGGGAGGTTGTGACCAAATTGTGCAAAGGGTCCCTTCACTCGTTGCAAAAGGAAGATTTGGGATATTCCCAAACCAATCATACACATATCCGCCCTTTTAACTCTGTACATGGATTTGGATGCACCCTTGCATCAGGTCTTGATGGTGCCTTCGGTGGCCTTTTTTTTGCAGGGTTGCTCCAGGCATCGAAAACGTTTACCTCAGAGTTGCATTTTGTGGATGGACACTGCAGCCATGGCTTCCAGCCCGGTGGGGTGTGGCGACCATGGAATTGGCAACGAGCTTTTTGGGTCTCACTTTGGGACCCACCGCGCATGGCCCGGGCGACCGCTTGTTTGGGGCAGCAACGTGGGCGCGCGCTTTAGATAGAATGCTTCTTTTGGGGGAAGTTCCCTCCTATGAATCGGTGCAATAGGGATGAAAAGCAGCTGGGCCTGGTGCAGCAGGCCCTCTCATGTGAACGGGGGCCCATTTTTCATTTGTTTCCTTTATTAATTCTTCTTTTTCTTTTTTCCCCCGTTTTTTTGTCCGAGTTTTTTTTTTTTTGGGGGGGGGGTACCTGTGTTGGGGCAGTTTTTGAAGGAACACCAAGGAGAAGCCGAAACCAGCCCTTTTGGGGAACCTCGAAATGGAGCCAAACCTGATTTCCTCGAAAACGCGGCAAAACGCAAACACCGGGTGGAACTTCCAGCGCTGTTCGCTGGCATCTTCTTGAGGGGACCAGACTGAACAGGAGCCTCGAGGGGACTCAAGAGGAGCGCAATCGGTTTCTATAGACAGATGGCTTCTCCCCGAGCGCCAACCTGTAAGTATCCACCAAAGGACACCAGCCTTTCCAATAACTGAAAACAACCCAAAGAGAATGCAGGCACCCCCTGTTTTGGCTTCAAAAGGGAGCTTTGAGTAGGGGGAGTTTCTTTCCAAGGGATTTCATAAAATGCGGGACCTGGGTTTCTTCTGGTTTTCCTTCAACTGGCGTCCCATTTTCATCTTTCGAGGAAGCACGGAGTTTCGTGAGAGCTTCAGGACATGTGCGGCTGGCCCGGCTTTTTTCACCCATGGGGCACCAGGTCTTCTCTTCCGCCCGAGAGCCGCAGAAAACAACACAAACCACGACGATCCCCACGCCGCGCAGGGCGACCTCAAGCTTGTGGACCGGCCTTCGGCGGTGACGCTGGCCGCAGGCGCGGAGCTCAAAATTGGGTCGAAACTTCGGTGGTTGCGACCGGTCGCCACGGCGGCGTTTTTTGCTTTGGACACCACCCGCAGAGTGCAACTTTGAAGGGGGAGGTCCCGTGACCTGAGTGAAAAGGGCCGTTGCTTGGGGCTTCCGTATTTCCAGTTTGCGAAAAAAAAAGCAAAGTAGGTTGCCCGGAGAAGCACCGGGGTTTACTGACATGTGCCATCTTTCAGAAAGTAGATGGCATACTTCTCTTGTCGGTAAGTACTGATGAAACCAACATGACCAAGTCGTACCGTTTACGCTGAACCAACTGAACTGCGCCAGGGCCCCAAGGGAACAAGTGGATGAAACTTGTTAACAGGTGCCGCTTCTTCCCTGCGCCCGCCCTCCCTTAAGCAGTTTCGGGCGGCCGGGAAGGCATGCAACCGAAAGCGGGAAGTCGCCAAGGGCCATCCTTTGGCTGGCCAGGGATCGCAGATTTGGTTTTGGGTAGCTCTGACGAGGCACAGAGGCATCTGTTCTCGAAGCAAGGAAAAGGCTGTTTCTCCGTTTGGACTTCCCTGTTTGTGGGTTTGCCTTTTTTTCTTCTTCTTTTTTAGTTCTTCATGTTCTGTGTGGCTCTGGGCTTCCTCATGTTTTACGGTGTCTTTGCGATTTTGCTCTCTTGTTGGTTCCGAGTTTGTGGGGTTCCTGTGTTTGGGGTTTCCCTTTGTTGGGTTTCCTCATTTGTTCGGTTCTCTTTGGTGGATTTCGATGTTTGAGGGTTTCCATTTTTTGGACTGTGGGCCCTCAATGGGGTAAGTCAAGTACGACCCTAAGACAGGCCGCAGCGACCACTTGCCTCGCCAAGCCGCGTCCAGGTCAGCAGATGACTCTGCATGCCTCCATCAAGGCGAGTGAATTCTTCAATTGTGAAACTGGAGAGTTTGTCCATGCTCGGCTCCCCTCCCCTCCCTCCTTGCCTTCCTTGCCTTCCTTGCCTCCTTGCTTCGCTCCCCTCCCCTCCCCTCCCCTCCCCTCCCCTCCCCCCCCCTCCCCTCCCCTTCCCTTCCCTTCCCTCTCCTTCCTGCCTCTTCACTCTCTCAGAGTGGAGCTGGATGGGGGGTTATCAGCGGCAGCTGAAACTCCGCTTTTCTTGTGGGACCGGACAATTGACTGGAAGGTTTTCTGGTAATCCAATAAAAACCTTTTTGGACATTCCGGCCCCGAATCTCTCTGGACATTCAGGCCCATTCCGGCCCCGGATCTTTCTTTCAGCACTTTTGGGGCCCCGATCCTTGGGGCCCGGAATTGGCGCAGGACACCACACGCGTGCTCGTTCAAGTTGCTGTTGGGGTATTTGCGTGCGGCTCTTTTGCGGGTGAATGTCCTTTCTCTTTTTGTTTTTTGTGTGTGTTTCTCTCCTACGCGGGTATCTCTTGCTACTTGATAGGTGGGCTTCCTAATTTCGCACTAGAACTTGGGCTCTACGGGACTGGTCGGTTTTCCTTGTCTCTTTGGACCCCCCCACAAAAGGGGGGGGAATCTTACCCAGGTTGTTGTTTCCCGAGGTGCCAAGACCCAGATGCCTCGAACCGACTGTGATCGATCACCGCCCGATGTGCATTTGCCAGGGGTCCCACGAACTGAGTTTGTCTGTTTCTTGCTCGCTTGGTTTGGCTTGTTTTGTTTCTTCTTCTTCTTTTTCTTCTGCCCGTGTTGTTTGGTTGGTTGTGTTTTGTGTTGTTTGGTTGGTTCTGTCTTGTCTGGTCCTGTCTTGTTATGTGTTGTGTTTTGTTGTGTGTTCTGCTGCGTTGTGTTGTGTTTTGTTTATTTGTTTGTTTGCTTGTTTGTTAGCTTGACCCTTTGTAACATCGCCCAGACCGCCGTTTTTTTTTTTTTTTGGTTTCGCCGCCGTTCATCCCTTGGAGCCAGGTGGCCTCCACAGAGACGGGCATCATCTTCGGCTACGTCACCTTCGAGAAGAAGAGTGCCGCAGCTCGGCCAAAAAAGCCGGTCTCTCGTGGCGCGAAGGAACGGAGCCGCAAGGCGGCAGAACTAAAAGCGAGACTCGGCGCAAAAGAATGGGCTTAAAAAAGCCGCAACGCAGCAAAAAACAATTCAAGGAGAGGTCCTCGTAGGCGCAAAATAATGGACAAACCATGTATGGTGTGGTCGGAACTTCAAAATTTTCCAAGGCTCTGCGCCCGTTGCTCAAATGGGTCAGTGGGGTGGTAAGCCAGGAAGCCAGGAAATGCCGCAAAAGCTTCCGTGTGGCACACGGTTTCTTGGGGTGGTTTCAATCACCCCAGCCAGATTAAAGGGACTTCTTCTTGGGCTTCGCTGCCTTGAAGTGGCTGAAAGATTCAGTTCTCCGCGGTGGCAACCTTGTGGCGCCAGAAGGCCCATTTATTTGGTCACAGCTTCTGTTGACCGGCAGGCCCCCTCCCAGCAAGACCGGCCCTTGATTCTTTGCAGAGTTTTGGGTAGACCCCTTTGAAGATACCAGCAGTTCCAACCAGAAGATGTCCGCCTTCAACACCTGGTCTTGATGTGTTGCAAGTCCCGTCCTCTTTGGGCCCCACGACCGACCCGTACGCACGAGCGACGTACGCCCGAGCCGTTTTGGGCTTCTCGGGTGCTCTTAGGCAGACAAGGAGTGCTCCGTCCCGGACCTCAGCTGGACACCGGTTGGCCATGGGCAAGGGCTCTGCCGGATATGGGGGATTACTATGAAATGCACACTCGGGAGTGTGTGTGTGTGTGTGTGTGCGGAGTGACAGAATGCCCTGTCACCACCCTTTCGGTTTCGCAGCAGGGGGCACAGGCCCATGGTGGTGACCTGTGCCAACGAAGCTAACCACCATGGGGGAAACGCGGACTGATCATCCGCGTGTACCTGCTTTTGTGAAGTGATGTTTCTGAAGGTCCTTTTGGTCCCCTCCCTGAACCGCCGTTGCTTTGTGTGCCCCTGTTCAAGTAACTAGAGGGAAGCTGAGTGATGTGCGAGTCGAAACTCACCATACTCGAGACTCATCAGTTGTACTCGAAACTCATCAGTTGTACTCGAAAGATTAGCACTCTCCATCTGGAGTTCAAGTGTGTACACCCCATTCGTGGGGAATCCTCGGGTGTACCCATTGTGTGACCCCGGGCCGGCTCTGTCGGAAAATTTGACCTCAACGTGCTTATCATAGAACAGCGGAATTTCACATTTAATCAGGAACGAGGTTTCACTAAAGGGAAGAAAGCCGTCAGTTCATAGAGACGTCTCACCACAGCGGATAGCTGCCGATTTTCATTGCATTTCTTGACTATTGGTTGAACTCGTTGCTCGTATCACTGCGGTTGGTGATTGCTGACTTGTATTTGCTTCCCTTGTGCATGTCGAGTGACCATTGCAGTTGAGGGCTGCTATCTTGCATTTGCATTGATTTGAACGTTTTCGAGTCTGAGTATCTCAAGGAGGAAGTGCGCAAATTCAGAGTCGGTTGCGTCACCATGTCTCGACGGGATGATCGTGATAGATCCAGGACTCGACGCAGACGTGATCGGAGTCCGTCCCCTCAAGCTCACAAATCACGCCGACGTGAGCACAATGACAACCAGGTCGCGGAGAACATGGATTGGAACAACTTGGTCTCATGGCAGCACAACTCCGGCTACAACGCTGCTAACAACTTCCCGATGATGCCCACCAATTTTCAATCGACTCACAACCCCACACAACAATTCCAATACCCGGCGATCAACTACATGATGCCGATCCCTCCTGATCCCACGCCATCCAAGTTCATGCCACCAGTGATGCCACCACCGGTCACTACCTCCCAACCTACACCATCACCTGCACCTCCTGCGGCTCTACCGGTTCGTCCTCAGAAAGCCTGGCTTACTCCATCGCCTGACTGGACACCAGGAGACGGCATGTTTGATGTCAACCAGCTCTACAACTTCAGCCTGCCCATGACTGTTGCCAACACTCCGCATGGCAACCTTCGCGACATGTCCGGCATGGATATTAGAGACGTTCGCCTGGTTCAGGTTATCCACGGGGGCCTCACCAACTGGCTCCTCCGGCCGTTTGCACACGGCCGCTTCGTGACGTGGGAAGGCTTTCGCACCCGCACCGAGGCCTTGCTTTGGAGTACCTGCTCCAAATTATTGCGAAGATCGCAGTCACTTAACCTGCTCACCCTGGAGAAGGACCTTGCCAACACGATGGGTCTCAACATTGATGACTTCAATCAGCGCATCAAGGTCCACGACCATTTGGCCAACTTGGTACTTCAATTTCTTCAACAACATCACACCTCTCTCGCACCCGCTGACCAGACCGATGACATGGTCAAAAAGTTCAATGATTTGAATCGTGCTCACGAACTTCTCCAGGCTCAGTATTCCGCATCACTTCGTGCATCGACTTCTCCCACGATGACAAACCAGAAGGATGATGCAGAGTTGGTTACACCACCACCGGTCAACCACACACCATCCTCCTCACCTGCCAGCTCCCTTCCCACAGCCAGCGCGGCCGCCCTGGATGGCAAGTCGTTTGATAGCGTGGTGCAACCTCGGATCATGCAGTCTCTTCACGGAATGTCGTCACCGCCGTCCAAACCGGCGGCGTCACAATTGCTCACCATGCACAGCACGCCGGAGGAAGTTGTCAAGTACTACACATGGACCAGCGACCAACCACGCCTTTTCCTCAAGCAAGCACCCACAACAACCACTTTGGCATCGCTGGTTAAGTGGGCCAATCACCCGTCCCGGCTCAACGGCAACAAGTCATTAGATTCTATGGCGACGCAGCTTCTTCAGGCCAGGCAACGCATGCCGAAGGGCGATGCGCCCACACTCGGTGCAATGGCAGCATCATGGGGTCTTGAACCCGGGTACCTTACCAAACTCACTGAGAAGGCATTGAGTCACCTCATCGTGACCGCTCGCCTGCTCTGTGGATGAGAAGGCATCATGACGACCTTCGTTCTCATATGAGCCCGGAGCGGCAACAATGTCACGGATGAGTCCAGGTGAAAACTCGTCCGTCAAGTGTTTGCGTTGCACATGATTGATCTTGTACTTGCTTGTTCTTGCATTGCCTCTTGTGTGATTGTCTGTGATGCTTGTATTCATGTCGCCGCCTTGTGGTAGATTTCGTTGGTTGCATCTCACCATGTTGGATGAACTTCGCCGCTGCGGAATCTATGATGATGTTGCACAATGGCAGTCGCTGGACGACCTTCTGCACTCGTTGACCATATTCTCTACGTGCTGGCATTACTGTTTCCCTGGACTACCACCACCGTCGATTCCAATCGAGGAGTACGAATCCATCACACAATTACCGTGGCTGGGTCTCATCCTCGAGGTCTTAGTTGTGGTCCGGATAGCCCTTCAGATTCCGAATCGTGCTATGTCCAGCTCTAATCACACCGTGGCTAACAGATATGAGCTTCACAGATGTCGGTGCGCAGCCTATTTATTGATCAGTTTCTTACAACGTCTTATTTCACAAGATCACGGCTACTTCCCGCCGTTCTTTGAAGTCCTCCACTTCTACAAGACTTCTCTCTTGTGTGAAATCATGCACTCGACTTTCGCTGACACGCGACATCTACGCTCATTGCGGGCGCGATTTCCTGACCTCTATGACTTCATATATGATCCAGGTCATCACCAGCAACCGTGCGTCTACATTCGCCTTTCCCCATGGCACACACCATACTATGTTGGGGCGACTGATCAGGATGTGCTACGTCGTGAACACTCACGCAGTCGCAAATTTCTACAACTGCTTCGTGGACGACATGCCTTCTTTGAACCGGCGCTTCACTACTGGAAACGATCCAACACCTACTGGCTCTACTGTGCTGTACCAGTGGAAATCAAACTTCCAGTTTCCTCGGTGTGGGTCCAAGAAAGCAAATGGCAATACCTGCTACGTCCGCATTTAAATGCGCCCTGGGTACACAGAATCTTGCGCAAGGTGGGCTTCCGGGAACACCTTGTAGACTTTCGACGCCACTCGTTGTCATCCCCCACTTCCCTCGGCTTGCACAAGCGCTTTCGACGACGACTGCATCCGGATCTCCAACGACAACTACGACCTGACGCACTGGATGACATTCAAGCCCACTACTCGATTCTCTATCAGCTGGGATCGAATACAGGAGCGTCGTTCCAAGTCATGCGTGACCTACTGTCGGCCGCCTTCCCTCCCACTCAGCTGTACTACTTATTGCGGCTCGCAGTTTTCGTCAACGAACCCTTCCGCTCCAAGGCCCAGAAGCTCCTCGCCCAGGTACTGCGCAAACGACGGCTACAACCACCCTCCACTTTGACACAGCTACTTTTGCCGCCGCTACATGTCCAAAATTGGAAAGCTCTACTTGGCACATGGTTACAAAACTGGATTGCTTCCCATCGGGATCTGTTCCCTTCTCTTTTCATTCCAAAGATCCGGGTTGTGGAAACCCGCAGCGCCACATTGGGCGACAAGATATACAACTATCGCACATGGCAGCGCAAATGGACGCCTGACACATCCTTTCCGTGTCGCTGTTTGGACATCGATGACCACCATCTACTCCGTGCACATGGTCACGCAGTAATGGTGGATGACTTTTCTCGCATCAATGCGGACATTAACGTGGAAATCATGGCCGCCTCAATGAAGGATCAGTTTTTCGGTGATGTCGACCTATTGCATCAACGTTTCACCACGCAACTTTGCAAACTTGCTCGACGCTGGCATGTACATGGTTCCGATCTACTTCCAGATCTACAACCGGTCGTGGCTCAGTTAATGGAGACCCATCGGATCAACCTCCAAGATCAGGCTTATTGGTCATCGGCATCGTTGCAACGCACTGTGGCCTCTTTGTCTTCATGGGTAGTTATCCCAGCGGATCATTTTCCCTCCCGTGCACATGTAGTGTGCCCGTCCCTGTTTGCCATATTGATGCGGAAGACATTCTGCGCGGGGGATGTTTTCTCACTTTGCCGCGAATCCGCAGCATCGTTTCGCTCTGAAGTGGTAACCACGGTACCTTCTCTCCTACGTCAACGATACGCATGGGGACTTCGACTTCAAGCACCGTTGCCCACAGCGCGCATCCTTCCAAAGCCGACCAAGGACTGGCAGAAAGCTCGACCCATCATTTCATTCTTTCGCACATGGGCGGCTCCCTTCCTCACGGTCTTCGGTGCGCTCATATTTGAACTCACCAAGGCGGCTTTCCCCGACATTGCAGGTCAACTCCCGGTACAAGAACTTATCCAGCAGCTGTGGGAAGCACTGTCAAAAGCAGATCCTGATGAGTACATCCACCTGGTGTCGCAAGACTTGTCAGGCTTCTTCACGTCCATTCCTACGGAACGATTCCATCAGGCGCTTCAAGTGCTTCTCCATCGATATGATCAAGTTGTTGGCCTTCGCAGTTCCTCGCAATGGTCCGTGTACGAAGTCAAGTCAGATCATCGACGCCGTATGTTCAAAGGAAAGTGGCGCCGTCAAACCAAGATCCCTCGAATCTTTCGTGAACAAGATCTCCGGCACCTCCTCGACTTTGTCATTGACAACAGTCACTTCGAGATCAACGGATACTTGTTCCGCCAAGAACGAGGAGTCGCTATGGGATCACCAGCCGCGCCACCGTTG